GCTAAATTATGAAGCACAGATATGTGAGCTCCCCTATACCTTCTGGTACATTCTTATGTAACATTAAATGTCGGGGTGTGTATCACAAATAGAGTGTGTATCACCTCCGGTAGCCAGAAAAGGCTAAAAGTTAAAAAAAAAATGTGAATCTAATATATAAAGCTCAGTTCTGTATGTAACACATATGTTTGTCGTTGGTCTTGGATGGATTTAAGTGTTAGACAATTAGCGTGCGCATTTGTCTAAATTTATGAGTTAAAAAATTACTATTGAAAGTGTTGGGAAATAATTTTCATTTTTCAAATTACAGTAATAATTGTCGGCATGTTCATTAAACACAAGTTTTTAAAAAATATCATCTTTTACAAAAATTCTAATTATGTCTTTATTTAGTCCTATAGCACTTACTTCCCTTTGATAAATTAGGAAAACACAATTACTTCCCTTTATAAAACCATTGCATTTGTGGAAAATAATTTACTTTTTAATTACTTTGTTTTGGTGTTGGGAAAAAAAATAATTACATAATTAGCGGGGATTGATCAAGTGCAAATGTTGTAGGTATTTTACGGTTAAGCTTGGAGTATTAAAATTGTTCATTAAATTGAAACAGGCGCGTTCGTTTAAGTGAGTGCAAAAGACTGTGAATAAGTTGGGGTACTATAGTCGTTCATTAAGCTAAAACAGGTGATTCCGCCCCGGGCGTTTATGTTCGCTTTAGTGTTTTCTTTGTGTTTAGGTGGGTTTGCGTTAGTGGTTGCGTTTTGATTTGGTTCGTTTTTGTTCTTTCTTTTATCGTTTTTGTTTGTTGTTTTTTTTTTGTTTGGGTTTGTATTTGTGTTTTTGGTTGGTTTTGCGTTTGGATTTGGTTTGTTTTCGTTTGCTTTTTCGTTGTTTTTTTTGTGTTGGTATTGGTGTTTGTGGTTGGGTTTGTTGTTAGGTTTTTGTTTTCGTTTGCTTTTTTGTTTGTTTTTTCTTTGTGTTTGTATTGGTGTTTGTGGTTGTGGTTGGGTTTGTTGTTAGGTTTTTGTTTTCGTTTGTATTTGTAATTGTGTTAGCGTTATGTTTGCGTTTTGTTGTTTTGGTTGGTTGTGGTTTGGGTGGGCAATGCCGGGTTTATGATGATTACTAAACACACAGGTAATGTTCTTTAACAGAAAGGTTTTTCACAGAAGCCAGAGCAGGGCCTGGCCGGGACGGCTAGTATGATATAAGGTTTATATATTAAAATTAAATTTCGTCAATGAACTAAAACGGCACTCAAGTTATTGTGCTCACACACACATAAAACCACATACACACGCACACACACACACACCCACACACAAGCACATACACTCACACTTACATGGACCAGATTGAAAACTGATTTTTCTACTCTTGACGGCGTAAAAGGTCAAAAATTGTCAAACCTCTATTTCGTGTTTTTGCACGGTTACAATATTTTCCCTATACTCCATATACGACGTAATAATGGACAAAAGCATCAAACAAAAAGAGAAAAGTAGAACGCTGATTCAGTATTAAAAATACTTGTAAACATGAAATGCTAAGGAAAGAACAGATTTTAAATTCACTATTAATTACTTTCGGTTACTTCCCTTGTATACATTTGATGTAAATATGGGAGGCAGCTTACAATTATTTCACAAAAGTTAGTTAAAAATACACAAAAATCAGTAGTAATAATTTTTTTTAAATATTAGTTTTGATATAAAATTTAAAAATTATATATAAATTTTTCAAATAAATTTGGTATACCTTTCATTTTCAGTTTGTTTTTAAAATAACTATAATTTTAACAGAATGCTAATAGCGGTATTAAATTTAGTATTTACTGATATATGCAGGTGTTTAGATAGTGTGATGATCTATTGGCGGTCAGATTGTTTCTTATAATTTCGATTTTAAACTCTAATATTAGACGGAAAGTCCTCTAACATTGATTTCAGCACTTGATGCCAACTTTTACATGCTTGTATAGTACCTACCAAACAGCCAGACTTCACAGTGCTGTGGAGAGTTGGGGTGAGGGAGGTGGGGGGGTGTGAGGGGGGGGGGGGTCTGGTAAATTCGGAAATGTTGTCCAGGTAAAGGAGACGTTGTCTGAGTCCACCCAGCCCTTTCGAGTACCTGGCGTAAATCGCGTACGTTAGAAATATAGACTTGCAACATCAAACTGATTAGTACATGTTTGTTTTACCGATTGGGACTGTCTCACTCTTTGTATCTGTTCTGTGTCTGCTTAGTTGTGAAGCGGGGGAATTCGTATCTTCTTGCTGAGTATACAAAAACAGTTTCAAATTTTTAAATGCGCATCGGTTTTGTTTTAGACTCAGTTCTGGTGGGTACCTTGAACTAATTAGGGGATAGTAAATACGACATGGCGTTGTATTAATGGCGTAATTTCTTAAAGAACTAGCCAATCGAACGATAACTCCATCCCTACACTCGTTTGTTTGTTAACGTATGTTAATTTATTGCTTGCTTGGTTTGTAGCCACACTCCTACTTTTTTGTAATAGCCTGTTTTTTTTTTTTTTGTTGTTTTTTTTAATCAGTAGACAGAGCTACAAAATATATTTTATAAAAATAAAATAGGATATAAGTTATTGGTATTTGAAAACTAAACCTAATTTAAAGCCTTGGAACAGATTAAAATAATCCAGAAATTGATGGTGATTTATCATGATATTAATCCGCACAGTTTTTGTTTTGATTCACCTAGCTTCCACCCCTGTGGCACACAATGAGCTTGGTTCAACTAACTTCCACCCCTTCGGTACACAATGAACTCGTCCTAATCGACCACATACGTCTTGAGAAGATTTGATTGTGAGTGAATTACTGAAATGCAAACCGGCAACAGGCCTTATACGGTACGACATAGCCATTTGTCTCAGACACTTTGGCAAGACTTTTTTTTCTTTGGTTTTAAAGAAATAAAATGGTTTGCTATATTTGGACGCGGAAGGGTACATCTTTATTCTGGGAACGTGGATTCTGAAATTGGCGGTGTGTGTATGGTGTGTTTGCATTTTAGCTGAGAGTAAATTGAGTAATGCTCTGTAAATACAATTCTGGGGGAGGGGGGTGTGATCAGTGAAGTATTTATTTTGGTCAAGGGGGATAACACTCGTATTCATGAATGACAAAGTTTCTTAGATAACCAATCAGGTGATTGTTTAACCATAGGTCTAAGAAATAAATTGACTGAAACCAAATTGTATGAGGTCAAATAAATCATGAAATATGTTAAACTGTGATGTTTGATGTTTTAATTTAATTTAATATTTTTCTCACAATAGTATTTAGATTTTACCCCTGGGTGGTGGGGATTGAGAGAGTTATGGGACGTTCCCTTAACTTTGATTCGATGCACAAGGCCCTTGCTCTCGATACAGATATTTTTTTACTGTTAAATCTGAACTACAAAAAGTAGAACATGACACATTGTTTAGCTGGGACCACAAAATGGTAAGTCAATTTATACTAGTGTCTCTCATCAATGAATGAAACAGTTCATAGTTACCCAGTCATAGACATCAAGTATTATTTCAATGCCAAATCAAATGTAGACACGGGTACGTAATATAGTCCTAGAAAAGAGAGTGTCTGGGTTCGAATCCCTTTCAGCTAAAACGACTCTGTCTTTTATATGACTATATTACGTACCTGTGTCTACATTTGGCATAGAAATAATACTTTATGTTTAGATTGTTATTTCACTAGCAATGCCAGCCTCCAACCCGTCTTCGGTCAGAATGTTACTCCTTCTGATAATCAAAAGACATCATCGATATCCTGTTAGCCGTGATTTGAGTGATGAGATTCAAACTACCACCGACAGTTGGTCCTTTAATTGAACATTGTTGCATCAATATCGCCCCACCTTAGTATTTAAACCTTTAGTACACTGTACGTGTTTTGAATCATTTGTACTGTTCCTAGCGACCACGAATGAATCATTTGTACAGTTCCTAGTTACCACGAGTGAATATCGAGGAAGAATATATTTTTAAACACTTTGATGTTTTTGGACTGAATTTCGTTTTCTTGAGCAGACACGTATACAAAGATACATACATTTATGGCAGTGCCGTATTCTATATATGATGAAACTAGATACATAGATACATACATTCTTACACACACATACACTCACACATGTACAAAAACACACATATACGATATACTCATGCTTACACAAACACATACACTCACACTTGTACAAAAGCGTACATATACATGCAAATACATACACACACATGTACAAAAACACACATATACACATACACAAACCTATACATAATTATGCACAAACTCATATACACAAAGTCAAAAACTCTCACACAGATAGATACATACATATACACACATGTAACACAGACTGTACACCATAACTTCGGGTTGATGAAACTAACAGCTTGTATGTATTGGAAGTTCAATTGAATAGATCAAACACGAAATAAATTAATGTTGAGACTAACAGTAGTAAAGGGCATTTAACCGTGTAATATTTTGCACACTTCTTATTTTTACAATCATCTCCCCTGATTATTTTCTCACGGTTGTTGTAAAGGGATACGGGTATGCATTTTGAATTAAATTTAAATAATGTTGATCAAGACATTTTTTTTTACTTATGTTTTTTTTTATTTCTAAGGAAAAAGGTTAAAAAACTGATTAGTTAGAACCAACCATTGTAGCATCGGTTTGTGGTTAATCTCGTCTGAGACCAACGTATTTGTGGCACCACCCTGTGACGTAAGATGGGCGTTGTCCCAGCAGCACTCCCAGCAGAAGTGGAACCTTCAGGTCGATGTTTGTCTGCTGTATGTCAATAACTTCTAGACTGTCTGCACGTGCATGTCGTGGTGTGCTCACCCTGCACGAGGCATGACCTTATATGGAAGAGACGGTGTATGATTGTTGTGGTATGTGAGGGTGGGGTGTGTAAGGGTGGTGTGATGTGTTGGAGTAGGAAGGAGATGTGTTGTTGTGAATGACAACTTGAATCGCTGGGATACCTTGTGTGAAGATTTTCAAGGTCTACTTGAAAACAATTCTTATTTTATTCGTTATTAATAAGTGATATTTTTACACCAAAACACGGAGGATACTAGGTAGAATTATATCTGCATTTAGTTGTATGAAGTTTTTTTATAAAAATCAATGCGTCAAAATAGTGTTGTTGTTTTGAAAAGATCTTGTAAAAATCATTAGTAATTGTAGATGGGTGAAGTGTTAAAACGTGTCATTAATTGCGCAATTAACTTGCTCAATTAATTATGGTACCGAGTTTATAAAATTCAGCTCTGCTAATTATATGGTGATACTGTTTCACATAAGGGTAGAGATTTGTTTGTTTTGAAAATGTCTTTGAATTTAAATAATTGGCGTTTTTTTTAAGTATAGTTGTTGATGTAGATTTTCTAAGCGTGATCGTTTCTGGATTAATATAAACTATTTTGAATGTGTTACATTTTAGCCATCTACTTATTTAAGTGTGGTTGTCGTAAAAGAAGTCAGCGTTTTAGCCTTGGTCAAATAAATGTAGTCAAATACTTCAGGTCAATTAATTTAGGACTTGATGAATATTTAAATTATGGACAGGTATTTCAGTTATGGTCAAATCCATTAGTTGTATTCAACTACCTTAGGTAAGGAAAGTTTTTTTTTAAATCGGGGGCAGCGATTTCAAGTAAGGTCAAATATTTTAAATGTGACTAGTTTAGGATTTTAGGTATTTTATTTTAGGGGTAGTCAGCTATAACATTTGGTCAAATATTGTGCAGTTATTTCTTGTGTGGTCAACTATTTTAGGTATAGCCAACTATCTCTGGTGTGATCAACTAATTTAGATGTGGTCAACTATTTCAGGTGTGGTCAAGTGTTAACGTTGTTGCGCTGTGTTCAACATGTGTGATGAGGACATTGTTGGGCTTGTCATTGACAATGGTTCTGGCATGTGTAAAGCTGGATTTGCAGGTGACGATGCTCCAAGATGTGTCTTCCCGTCCATCGTAGGCCGACCTAGGCACCAGGTGCGTCATTTCATCACCTACTGGAATAAACCTTAAACTTTATATATTTTTATCTGCTCATTGTATTACACTCAAACAGACATGTTTTTAACTAGACACACACACACATATATATATATATATATATATATATATATATATATATATATATATATATATATATATATATATATATATATATATATATATATATATGCCTTAAGTGTTTATTCGTAGGGTGTGATGGTTGGAATGGGACAAAAAGACACCTACGTTGGAGAAGAGGCACAGTCCAAGAGAGGAATTTTATCACTGAAGTACCCGATTGAACATGGCATCGTCACCAACTGGGATGACATGGAAGTAGGTTGATCTATTTATAGACATTATCTCCTTATTTAACAACTTTTTTCTCTCGAAAAAGAGAATTTGGCACCATGATTTATATGCTGTCTCACCAGCGAATTTGGCACCATAATTTATATGTTGTGTCACCAGCGAATTCGGCACCGTAATTTATATGTTGTGTCACCAGAGAATTTGGCACCATGATTTATGTGCTGTCTCATCAGAGAATTTGGCACCATAATTTATATGTTGTCTCACCAGAGAATTTGGCACCATAATTTATATGTGTTTTGTCTCACCAGCGAATTTCGCACCATAATTTTTATGTTGTCTCACCAGAGAATTTGGCACCATAATTTATATGTTGTCTCACCAGAGAATTTGGCACCATAATTTATATGTTCTGTCACCAGAGAATTTGGCACCATAATTTATATGTTCTGTCACCAGAGAATTTGGCACCATAATTTATATGTTGTCTCACCAGAGAATTTGGCACCACACCTTCTACAACGAGCTGCGCGTGGCACCAGAGGAACATCCGGTCATGATGACCGAGGCGCCGATGAACCCAAAGGTCAACCGGGAGAAAATGCTTCAGATCATGTTCGAGACGTTCAACGCCCCGGCCTTCTACGTGGCCATACAGGTACAGTGTGTTTCTTACATGTAAGGTGTTCTGTTTTGTGTGGAGGGGGGGGGTGTTTTTTATTTACTTTGTAACTATCCATCGATCTACTTGTTGTTTTTGCTTTGGAATATTTTAAGTCTTAACTAAGTTACACTTATTGCTACACTTATTGTAGACGTATTTTGTCACCGTGATTGTCATTGATTTCTTTAATTAATCAGACCGAACATGTTATAAGAACAAGTTAGTGTTTACTTCTGTGCCCTGATGTTTTTATATGTGTCTGTTTATTAGTGTATGGGCCTATGGACCCCGGTGGTTTTACATATGTCAGTATGTTAGTGTATGTGTCTATGTTATATATGTCAATGTATAGCGTATGGGCCTATGTAACACGGTTGTGTTACATATGTCAATATGTTGTTGTATTATAAACCTTCCCCGTGAGTCAAGTAATTGTTCTATGTGCAGAACCCACCCAACAAGAAACTGACTAGTTCTCCTGACGCCATCTTACCGTGGCAGACGACGAGTAATTCGATAAACCTAGCAGGCGACATTTCAGACAGTCGTAAATTACTCTCTAGGCGTTCCCGTGCATTGATTTTAGACAGTAGCTATGATGTCTTCATTATATCACTATCATTGCAAGATTTGTAGTAGTAGATTTCAGACAGTAGCTATGATTTCTTCATTATATCACTTGCTATGATGTCTTCGTTATATCACTTGCTATGATGTCTTCATCATATCACTTTCATTGCAAGATTTGTAGTCTTTTACTTTACATTTACAAAGCAACTATATATAAATATTAAATATAGTGTAAAGTAGATATGTAAATGTATACATAATACTTATTATTATTTTATTAACCTTAAAAATATGTTTGCATGTAAATAGAGGATAATTATAGATCATCTTTGCCCGAAATAAGCTCGTTATATTTCTTGTCTACCAGTGTTTCTTCCAGACTTTTTTCTCCGGGGGGGGGGGGGGCACTTGAAATTTTCGGGGGGGGGGGGGGGGCGTTTAGACTTTCTTCGGGGGGGGGGGGCGGACACTGTTAAAAGTATATATTTTCTATATGGAAGAAACTCTGTTGTCTACTTTTGAAACTTTTGCTTACATTTTTTTTAAAACTTTTACCTTTAACTACCACCTTGATTTAAAATCATATACCCTTAATTACGCAAAAGATCAATAAGGATAACACGGTTTAAAATAAAAATTTAAAAAAACAATCAATTAATTCAATTGAGTTTGTATGTTAGTGAGGATAATTCTTAAAGAGTAGGCCTGCGTATTCTGAGTGATAAGTTGTACATTCTATGTTACACACAATTAAAGAAATAGTTTGAAGACTATTTAAATATACGGGTCAACTGGACTAATAACTAGTTTTTTTTTCACAAAGCATATTTTAGGCTACCGATAAATTTGATAACTAGAATTGGTATCAAATTAAAGATATTTCTTTTTTCTAGAGTATTTATTTTAGAAAATATACATTTTGTTTTTCTTATATTTAAAAATTACTGGGATATATGTCCATTATAAACACCATTAGATACAACTTCAACAACTCCACCAAACACTAAACAAACCCAGCAACAACAAGAAACTACCACCGCATCAACTCAAGTCTCCAAACCTTTAACTCCTGGAAAAAACAAGAGCTGCGGATACTGTTTCCACAGTTTCAGTATTGCCAGCGTGTGTAAAACTCATACAAAAGCTTTCTATCCTGATAGTAAATGCCCGCATTGTAACAATCTGATCAAAAGCAGAGGGGTAATAAAGCACCACGTACTAAAACACCCAGACATCGCAGTCTTCCGGTGCGGATAATACCTAACACGCATATGCACCAAAAACGATATACAATAAAACCTCACAGACCAGCATAATGACAACGACCTCTGTCACAATGAAATCTTCTACATCCTGAACCCAGACCAGGGGTCGGCAACCTGCGGCTCGCGAGCCGCATGCGGCTCTTTTGATATCAAGATGCGGCTCTCCAGCTCCTTGAACAAATACTAATACTCTTAATAAAAAAAATAAAATATTTGAAATAAAGAAAATGTTAGTGGCTCTTTAAAACCAGGGAAATTTTGAAAATTGTAACTGTTGGCTCTTCCGCTTCAAAAGGTTGCCGACCCCTGACCCAGACAAATCAATTTTTTACATATATGCATACAACAGAACATAAACAAACAGATAACTACAAAAATTTCTTTAAACATTAAATATATTTTGAAAAATGTTTTGAAAGGTACAAGGTAATTAACGGTGAACAGCAGGAGTTTTTATTAATTGGTAGTATTTCTGGTAATACGACTCTATAAAGCAAAGTATATATTAGATAGGATAAGGCTTTATTGCAAATTTTTAATATATTTTACTAAGTAAAAATAAAACTACTTAAAGTTCTTTAAGTTTATTTAAAATTGTGTAAATTGTTATAATGCAAATAATTTAAAATGGACTAAAACGTTGATGAAAAAATCAATTGTTCATGCAATTTAAAAAAAAAAATTTAAATGATGGCATGTAGCCTCCCTTCACCTTTTTGTTTGGCTTGTTAAAGGGATACAATCCAATTTTAGAAACCAACATTTTTACTTACTTGTATGAGAAGTATAAAGGATGCATTGTAATCGAAAATCGAAATCGAGATTTTCACAAACCTCGACGTTTTACACTGTCTCGAATATTCTTATATAAAACAACAGGGAATGGCAACTCGGGATAAAGACATGATTTTTAATTACTTAAACTTTTAAACATAGCAAAAAATCTCGTAGAAAAAAAGAATTGGAAATAAACACCACATATACCAAACGTACAAGCCCTACGGTCATCCCACAGGCTGTTCTCAGTCTCTACGCCTCGGGACGTACCACGGGGATTGTGCTGGACTCTGGGGACGGGGTGACCCACACGGTGCCCATCTATGAGGGCTACGCTCTACCCCACGCCATCCTGCGGATAGACCTAGCTGGACGGGACCTGACTGATTACATGATGAAGATACTCACAGGTACGTAGGTACACCACACAACTGTCTGTGTGTGTGTGTCTTCTTTGTTTGTGTCTGTATGTATAGTTTCTTCCAGGCATCTCTTGGGGGGGGGGCTGAGCCCTTCCAAGAAAGTATACCGCCCCCCTTCCCCCCCCCCCCCCCAAAAAAAAAAGAAATGGAATGTATGTATGTAGAAAATCTATACCGCATATACTTTTACCAGTGTCCGCCCCCACCCCACCCCCTCCCCCACGCAAACAAAATTTAGTACGCCCCCCCCCCCTCCCCCGAAATATCAAGTGCCCCCCCCCCGGAGAAAACAGGAAGAAACACTGTGTGTCTGTCTGTGTGTCTGCCTGTTTGTGTGCAGTTTCTTCCAGGTATCTCTTCGGGGGTGGGGGTGGCTCTCCCGGGGAAAGAAGTCTGGAATAAACACTGTTTGTGTGTTTGTCTGTGTGTATTTATGTGTGTGTAAGCAGTGACGTAGCGAGGGGGGCGGGGGACATGTGTCCCCGGGCGCCGACCTTAGGGGGGCGCAAAAAAATGGGTTGGAAAATCAAATTGAAAGTTTGAGAGGGGGTGGTGTAAATCAAAAGTTCGAGGGGGGGGGGGTGCAAAGTTTGAGGAGGGGGTGCAAATCAAAAGTTCAAGGGGGGTGAAAATCGAAAGTTTGAGGGGGGGGGGGGTGCAAATCAACAGTTTGAGGTGGGGTGCAAATCGAAAGTTTGTCCCCGGGCTCCAAGAAGGGTCGCTACGCCTCTGTGTGTGTTTGCTTATGTGTGAGAGAGATACAGAGAGTGTGTGTGTATGTATAAGTATATAGGGCCTACATCTTTTCTGCCGCCTAAATTTCTCCACGTTGACCGGTCCCTAGAACGCGGTTACAGCTTCACCACCTCGGCCGAGAGAGAAATCGTGCGCGACATCAAGGAGAAACTCTGCTACGTGGCGCTGGACTTTGAGGAGGACATGAAGACGTCAGCCGTATCTTCGGAGATGGAGAAGAGCTACGAGCTGCCGGACGGTCAGGTCATCACCGTGGGGAATGAGAGATTCAGGTAAATTTTTCCGTTTACATGTATGTTTTCAACTAGAGATTCAGGTGAATATTTCCGTTTACCTGTATGTTTTCAACGGGAGATTCAGGTGAATATTTCCGTTTCCCTGTATGTTTTCTACAAGAGATTCAGGTGAATATTTTCGTTTACCTGTATGTTTTCAACGAGAGATTCATGTGAATATTTCCGTTTACCTGTATGTTTTCAACGAGAGATTCAGGTGAATATTTCCGTTTACCTGTATGTTTTCAACGAGAGATTCAGGTGAATATTTCCGTTTACCTGTATGTTTTCAACGAGAGATTAAGTGAATATTTCCGTTTACCTGTATGTTTTCAACGAGAGATTCAGGTGAATATTTCCGTTTACCTGTATGTTTTCAACGAGAGATTCACGTGAATATTTCCGTTTACCTGTATGTTTTCAACGAGAGATTCAGGTGAATATTTCCGTTTACCTGTATGTTTTCAACGAGAGATTCAGATGAATATTTCCGTTTACCTGTATGTTTTCAACGAGAGATTCAGGTGAATATTTCCGTTTACCTGTATGTTTTCAAAGAGAGATTCAGGTGAATATTTCCGTTTACCTGTATGTTTTCAACGAGAGATTCAGGTGAATATTTCCGTTGACCTTTATGTTTTCAACGAGATTCAGTTGAATATTTCCGTTTACCTGTATGTTTTCAACGAGATTTTCAGGTGAATATTTCCGTTGACCTTTATGTTTTCAACGAGATTCAGGTGAATGTTTCCGTTTACCTGTATGTTTTTAACGAGAGATTCAGGTGAATATTTCCGTTTACCTGTATGTTTTTAATGAGAGATTCATGTGAATATTTCCGTTTACCTGTATGTTTTCAACGTGAGATTCAGGTGAATATTTCCGTTTACCTGTATGTTTTCAACGAGAGATTCAGGTAAATATTTCCGTTTACCTGTATGTTTTCAATGAGAGATTCAGGTGAATATTTCCGTTTACCTATATGTTTTTAATGAGAGATTCAGGTGAATATTTCCGTTTACCTGTATGTTTTCAACGAGAGATTCAGGTGAATATTTCCGTTTACCTGTATGTTTTCAACAAGAGATTCAGGTGAATATTTCCCTGTATCTGTATGTTTTCAACAGAGATTCAGGTGAATATTTCTGTTTACTGTATTTTTTTAACGAGAGATTCAGGTAAATATTTCCGTTTACCTGTATGTTTTCAACGAGAGATTCAGGTGAAAATTTCCGTTTACCTGTATGTTTTCAATGAGAGATTCATGTGAATATTTCCGTTTACCTGTATGTCTTCAACGAGAGATTCAGGTGAATATTTCCGTTTACCTGTATGTTTTCAACGAGAGATTCAGGTGAATATTTCCGTTTACCTGTATGTTTTCAACGAGAGATTCAGGTGAATATTTCCGTTTACCTGTATGTTTTCAACGAGAGATTCAGGTGAATATTTCCGTTTACCTGTATGTTTTCAACGAGAGATTCAGGTGAATATTTTCGTTTACCTGTATGTTTTCAACGGGAGATTCAGGTGAATATTTCCGTTTACCTGTATGTTTTCAAAGAGAGATTCAGGTGAAAATTTCCGTTTACCTGTATGTTTTCAATGAGAGATTCATGTGAATATTTCCGTTTACCTGTATGTTTTCAACGAGAGATTCAGGTGAATATTTCCCTTTATCTGTATGTTTTCTACGAGAGATTCAGGTGAATATTTTCGTTTACCTGTATGTTTTCAACGAGAGATTCAGGTGAATATTTCCCTTTACCTGTATGTTTTCAACGAGAGATTCAGGTGAATATTTCCGTTTACCTGTATGTTTTCAACGAGAGATTCATGTGAATATTTCCGTTTACCTGTATGTTTTCAATGAGAGATTCATGTGAATATTTCCGTTTACCTGTATGTTTTCAATGAGAGATTCAGGTGAATATTTCCGTTTACCTGTATGTTTTCAACGAGAGATTCAGGTGAATATTTCCGTTTACCTGTATGTTTTCAACGAGAGATTCATGTGAATATTTCCGTTTACCTGTATGTTTTCAACGAGAGATTCAGGTGAATATTTCCGTTTACCTGCATGTTTTCAACGAGAGATTCAGGTGAATATTTCCGTTTACCTGTATGTTTTCAACGAGAGATTCAGGTGAATATTTCCGTTTACCTGTATGTTTTCAACGAGAGATTCAGGTGAATATTTTCGTTTACCTGTATGTTTTCAACGGGAGATTCAGGTGAATATTTCCGTTTACCTGTATGTTTTCAAAGAGAGATTCAGGTGAAAATTTCCGTTTACCTGTATGTTTTCAATGAGAGATTCATGTGAATATTTCCGTTTACCTGTATGTTTTCAACGAGAGATTCAGGTGAATATTTCCCTTTATCTGTATGTTTTCTACGAGAGATTCAGGTGAATATTTTCGTTTACCTGTATGTTTTCAACGAGAGATTCAGGTGAATATTTCCCTTTACCTGTATGTTTTCAACGAGAGATTCAGGTGAATATTTCCGTTTACCTGTATGTTTTCAACGAGAGATTCATGTGAATATTTCCGTTTACCTGTATGTTTTCAATGAGAGATTCATGTGAATATTTCCGTTTACCTGTATGTTTTCAATGAGAGATTCAGGTGAATATTTCCGTTTACCTGTATGTTTTCAACGAGAGATTCAGGTGAATATTTCCGTTTACCTGTATGTTTTCAACGAGAGATTCATGTGAATATTTCCGTTTACCTGTATGTTTTCATCGAGAGATTCAGGTGAATATTTCCGTTTACCTGTATGTCTTCAACGAGAGATTCAGGTGAATATTTCCGTTTACCTGTATGCTTTCAGCGTGTGATATAAAAATTACAATTTAGTACACGGGTTCCCAACCTGGGGGTCGCGACCCCCCTGGGGGTCGCGAAGGTCTTTCTGGGGGGTCGCCAACTGGTATACTAAACCTTAGTAATTTGAAATAAAACATAAATATTTAGAAGAATTTTTGAAAGTAGACTTCATTAACATCACTGGAAATCTAATAGAGAAGAAACAAAGCGCACTGTACAAAGCTGTTCTCAGTCACGAATCTATGAAATCTTCAAAACTAAAACGTCATTTGAGACAAGTCAAGTCATTCGGAACACACCAAAAAATATATGGAGTTCTTTCGTCGGTAAGAAGCTAGTTGAAACGACAGAGACTGGATCGAACAGGAAGTTTTCACCAGCATTAGTGCAAGCATCAAATGAAGTCGCGATAGAAAATGCCAGCAAAAAAAAAAAAACAATAGGAGAAAATCTCATCAAACGCTGCATGTACGTAAATGTTAAATAACACATGTTTATTGAAATTAAGCTTTTACCATTGTTTGCTTTTCAAGTTGATAAATCAACAGACGTGAGTTCGTGTTCGAAGTTGCTGGTCTGTGTCTATATTCATGCGGATGATAGCAAAGAAGAGTTGCTCTTTTATGAAGATAGCATGGAGAAAATATAAACCTTTTTTGAAACTGGATGATTAAAATGGGTTAGAACGGTTGTGGGGGGTTTGTACGGATGGTGCGCCATCTATGTTTAGGTCAAAATCGGGCTTTCAGAAAGCAGAAAAGATTTAGCTCCCTAACCACTGCCCTAACCAATCGACATCAAGAGTCCATTGCTAGTAGATCTATAAGTCGTAAATTATATAAAATCTGGAGCCTTCAAAGAACTGAGCAAAAACATTAATATAGATCACGAGGTTCTGCTCTTCTACACTACAGTACGCTTAACCTGAAGCTTCAGGGAAAATGAACGAATATTATAACTTTCCATGATAATCTCAGGGCATTTTTATCAAAGCTGCAAAATCGGTAAAGAAGATAAATTTTGGAAATATTGTAAATTTGAGAAACTCTGCGGTGTGGTAGATGAATCTGATTGTGGGATAATTAAAATATTGAAAGAAGCGATTTCTGGGCATCTTGAATCTCTTGAAAACGAACTGCATCGCTATTTCTCTGAGCTGAAAAAAAGAAGAATCTGCATTTACGCATTACTCATTCTCTTCTTCCCTTGATGTTGCCAGCATTCCCGATAAATTACAAAATGAATTCTTTGATTTGCAGAATGATTCCGAGTAAGATGAAAAACTGCAGGCACAATTTTGGTGTAGTATTGACCATTCATACACAAACGTAAAATTGATTGACTTTTCGAGAATATATTTTCAACACTATTCTTCGATTAAAAACAAAATTAAGATAATTATAATGACATAGGTTGGCGTTAACAAAAATTTGTTTTAATTAAAAACTTAACCACGAAGGTTTAGTGAATAGTATGCAGTTTTACTCATGCTATTAAAACAGTTATCAAGAGTAGTTCAAATTGAAAGTCTACTACATAATCTTATTTTAGTGCTTATTAATTTCCATACTAATTTCGGCTTTTTAATTCTATGGGGGTCGCGGGTCACTTACTTTTTATAAAAGGGGGTCGCCACTCGAAAAAGGTTGGGAACCACTGATTTAGTAGTCTACGAGAGATATAGGTGAACATTTGCACCTACCTGTATGTTTTTAACGAGATAATCAGGTGAGCTTCGCGCCTACCTGTAACAGTGTGATTTAAAGTTTTAATTGGAAATTGTTACGCTAGGCGACAGGTGAAATTTTACAAATTTCGCTTACTCGCTATGCTTTGCTATAACAAACAAATTTAACTTCAGTAAAAACGAAAACGTAATACGTCTGATTCATCGATATATTTGTTATAGTATAATATATACATTTAAATTTCCATGAGTAGTAACAGGCCAATGGTCGAACTCTTGTCCATCTCGTGTAGGTGCCCAGAGGCGATGTTCCAGCCCTCGTTTGTCGGCATGGAACAGGCCGGCATCCACGAGTCCGTCTACAACTCCATCAACAAGTGCGACGTCGACATCCGCAAGGACCTCTACAACAACATCGTCCTGTCCGGCGGCACGACCATGTACCCGGGGATCGGCGACCGGATGACCCACGAGGTCGGCGGCCTGGCGCCGGCGGCCATCAAGGTCAAGGTCATCGCCCCGCCGGAGCGGAAGTACTCGGTGTGGATCGGCGGCTCCATCCTGGCGTCGCTGTCGACCTTCCAGCAGATGTGGATCAGCAAGCAGGAGTACACGGAGTCCGGCCCGGTCATCGTACACAGAAAATGTTTCTAGTAGTTTTTTTGTTGTTTTTTTTAAATTATAACCTACGCCGCCCATTCCATTTTAACACAACCCTTTCCTGACATTAGCGCCATTTTTTGTATACAATCTCCGACCTCTCATTTTACCAGCAACCCATCAATATCTGCGCCCTTGCTATATTAGAAGCCCACCATCTCCGTTTTCACTATATCTACCCCCACCCCTCCAACCACCTCCATCCCTGCTATGTTAGTTTACCTACTCAACCACCTTCTAAACTCCACCCCTCCCCGACTTCTCCCCCCCCCCCCCCCACCCCCATGATCCAAACCCATAATCTACTTCACCTTTGTCTTCACCGCACAATATAAACCATTGAACTCAGTTCAATTTATAAAGCATTGGTGCAGCTCTCTTATATTAAATCCAACACAAATAATTCAGTAATCCAAATAGACGTTTTGACAAAGAATCGCAAACATCATTTCTTATCCCTTGAACCTGCCAATAGATTAAAAAAAATAAACCCATAGATGGGGCAGAACAAAAACGTATGGATTTAACCTATATTTGAATATCATTAAACAACAAAAATAGAGTTTGTTAAGGTTGTGATCAATAATGCTCAGTTATAAAGGCCTACATTCAGTGAAGTTAGCCTGATGTCTACTTGTTAGCCTGATGCCTAGTTAGATGTTAACCTAATGCCTAGTTGTTGGCCTGGTGCATAGTTGTTAGCCTGATGCTTAGGTAGTTGTTAGCTATATACCTAGGTGTTAGCCTGATGTCTAGTTGTTAGCCTGAGGCCTAGTCGTTAGCCTGAGCCTAGGTAGTTGTTAGCCTGATGCCTAGGTGTTAGCCTGATGCCTCGTTGTTAGCCTGATGTCTAGTTGTTAGCCTGATGCCTAGTTGTTAGCCTGATGCCTAGTTGTTAGCCTGATGCCTAGGTGTTAGCCTGATGCCTCGTTGTTAGCCTGATGTCTAGTTGTTAGCCTGATGCCTAGTCGTTAGCCTGAGGCCTAGTCGTTAGCCTGAGCCTAGGTAGTTGTTAGCCTGATGCCTAGGTGTTAGCCTGATGCCTCGTTGTTAGCCTGATGTCTAGTTGTTAGCCTGATGCCTAGTCGTTAGCCTGGGGCCTAGGTAGTTGTTAGCCTGATGCCTAGTTGTTGGCCTGGTGCTTAGTTGTTAGCCTGATGCTTAGGTAGTTGTTAGCTATATACCTAGGTGTTAGCCTGATGTCTAGTTGTTAGCCTGATGCCTAGTCGTTAGCCTGAGGCCTAGTGGTTAGCCTGAGCCTAGGTAGTTGTTAGCCTGATGCCTAGGTGTTAGCCTGATGCCTCGTTGTTAGCCTAATGTCTAGTTGTTAGCCTGATGTCTAGTTGTTAGCCTGATGCCTAGTTGTTAGCCTGATGCCTAGGTGTTAGCCTGATGCCTCGTTGTTAGCCTGATGTCTAGTTGTTAGCCTGATGCCTAGTCGTTAGCCTGGGGCCTAGGTAGTTGTTAGCCTGATGCCTAGTTGTTAGCCTGATGCCTAGTCGTTAGCCTGGGGCCTAGGTAGTTGTTAGCCTGATGCCTAGTTGTTAGCCTGATGCCTAGTCGTTAGCCTGGGGCCTAGGTAGTTGTTAGCCTGATGCCTAGTTGTTAGCCTGATGCCTAGTTGTTAGCCTGATGCCTAGTCGTTAGCCTGGGGCCTAGGTAGTTGTTAGCCTGATGCCGGGACCTAAGCTGCTCTTCTCTGGGCTAGTTTCTACAATTGTCTCCAGTGGTAACCCATGTTACTAATGATCACATTACGTCCAATGATTTTTTTTTATCTAGAGTTATTTCCCTCCCCTTAAGTCTATTACATGTATTCAGTTAAATTCAATACAATACTATTCAATATTTTTTTTTATTTCATTGTACCATAATATTTTGGTAACATTATGACTTATTTAGTGGATTATTGTATTTATGGTGTATCTATTTCTAAACAAACAGTACGTATGTGAGTTGTGCATAAACAGTTTTTTACCATAAATTACACAAAATATAATCTATTGATTGAATTGGTGTGTTGTTTGGTGTATTAAGTCATAACATCATGCTTATGTTTATTACATGGTGATTATCTAATTTTTTTTATGTATTTGTACTCTTGTAGTTGTCCCATGGTAATTTACTAATTAATAAACTAATTATCTCACAGTAATTTCAACATAGTAATTGTCATATGGTAGCTGTTCCACAACAGTTATATGGTAATTTTTCCCCAGGTAGTTGGTTGCAGTGCCAAGATAATTGTCCAATGTTAATTTACTCACAGCAGTTTTAACATGGCAATTACCACTTGGTATTTTCTCTACCCTAGTTGACAAGTGCACTTAATCCAGTAAAAAAAAAAACATTTCTATTTTTTTTAAACACTTTTGTCTTTTATTTTTTAACAAATTAAATGCAATATTTTAAAATAAACACAGTTTCAATAACGCTTAAAAATGTTACATATTTTTTTAAAAACCATTGACCTATTAGTATGAATATCATAATGATCTTTTGAAAAATAGATGGAAAGGCATTGGTCTTACGATTTTTGTTACATTTGTATACAGCGTATGTCAGATGAAATAAATACAACTCATCAACTTCAACTTGTTAAATTAATAAAATTTATAATTTGAATAAAAGCATTGTTTTTATACATACTAATGAATTATTGAGAAGCTCATTATGTTATAATGAGGCTAAAAACATAACATTTTCAAAGCATGGATAAAAGAATCAAATTTACACAGGTTTTTCAAATAAATCATGTTTGATAAATAGGTATTTATAATCTAATACCCTCACAGTTAGTAGTCTTTCACAAGTCAATTAAGTTCAAATATTTTGCTAATGCCATTTTTTACATTGACCATTAATTAATCTTTTAGTTGTCAATACAAATATTTTGCTGATGTCATATTTTTTTCTGATTTTAATCCACAACACCTTGTGGTCAAAATGGTGTACAGATATTTGTTATCCTTTTCCAAAGCCATCTTCATTAAACAATGTTAATCTATACATTAGCATCAGCATTAAAACCATTACAAGTACACAAGTCATGATTAAAACAACGCTAGCCTTTACACAAGCTGCAAGCCATCCCATAATTGAAATTCAAGTTTTTAGTAATGGAAAAATGAATAATTCAACGATTTATTGCATCTTTGTTCAAACTCTAACACACACAAAAATACCACCAACATAAAATAAATCCCCACAAACATAATCTTAAGCCCCTCACACATAAAATAAATCCCCTCAAACACAAAATAAATCCCCCACACAAAAAATAAAACCCTCACAAACATAATCTTAAGCCCCTCACAAAATAAAATAAATCCCCTCACAAATAAAAAATAAAGTAAAATTACACACATTTAACCTAACACTCTAACACTCTTCAACCCCTCATAAATAAAACTTCACAAAACTTTATTTAAAAAAATAACATCAAATGCCTAAATTTGTCTTCAAGGGTTTTCCTAAATAATTTTCCATTTAAACCTATAAGTACATAAATAGAGTGAAAGCATGTAGTGTAACAAGGTCAAGGAAATCTAACAAGTATCATCACATTGTCTCTTAAAAATATTTTCTACATCTAACCTCGTCATCCAAACACTTTTTAAAAAACACGTTTGGAAGACTCAAAATACAAAGAAAAAATATTTTTATATTGCTTTTTAGTTCATAACTTTTAAAACTTTACACTTTAAAATTTTAAACTTTGTTTTGACTTGGCTCAACATATTCTGCTTTCTCAATTATTTATTTTATTCTATTTGCAATGTAATTTACAAACACAAATGTGTTGGAAATAGTTAAAGAATAGCTCAGCACACAAAACATGTTTCAGTTACAATTTAAATTTGGTTATTAGAGTCATAAAAGTACATTCTCTTCTGCTAGTACTAATTGTAATAGATACAATTTGCATTAAATAAAAATAGTTATAAGATTATTTTTTATAACAAAGAAGAAATAAAAAAATAAAAAGATCAAGTAAAATTTGTGTCACTGGTGCAAATGAATATCTTTCTTTGCCGGGGGGGTGGGAGGGGTGACTTTTTAATCGGAACAAAAAACTAGGTCTGCATTGGTTGCGCCACCCCAACTCTGTAGCACCCTCTAGTTCCGCCACTGAGCAGTAGACAGCGGTGATGATGTGTTGGGCCCATTCAATCAACATAAAATTCAGACTGCTGCCTGCAACAGCCAATTAGGGGGTTAGGTCGAGGAATATTTGACTGGTATTGAAAGTTTCATAGGAAACATTGTGCAGAGGGTAAAAGGCAGGTAAATAACAAAATTAGAATGCATATGTGATACATTGTGAATAGAACATAATTATTGTCACAAAATGTCATAAGTATTAATCTGATAGGTGAGTATTGAAACAATAACTCCCCCTCCACTACAGTAGAAGGGTTTGTGGAGAAATATTATTTGAAGAAGTCTACAACATCAATACAATCAAAGGAAGACTTAACATTCAATACACATGCAAACATTTTTTAACACAACAACCTCAAAGTTCAGTCAAATATATTTACAGCTATTAAACTTTAGGGTAAAGAAAAATGTTATTCTAATAATTTGAATTATGTGACACATGTATGACAAATAAAATCAAGGCTGGTCTGTAATTAATGTGTGTGCGAAGTTGATGCATGGTGTCATACTAGGATTTGTGTTGTGGTTGTGGGAGTATGTAACAAGCAAGCTCTGGCTTGTAGAGTTTTAACAAAGCTGCTAGGTGTCATTTGTCAAGTAAAAAAGCATTAAACTTACTTTAAGGGCTTGCATAAGATAAATCTTTTTTTTTTTAAATTTCACTTACACCCATGTATAAAAACAAGCCATACACTTAGTAGACACACCAGTACATTGTGTTGGCCATGCCTTGTTTAATGTGCTACCCACACCTTATGAAACTGTTAGCCACACACCACTACATTAGGTTGGTCATACCTCATCACAATGCTAGCCGGCACACCATTATGTATGTAGCTAGCCACCTTGTATCATCACAAGCTACCCACACCCTATGAAACTGTTAGCCACACACCACTACATTAGGTTGGTCATACTTCATCACAATGCTAGCCGGCACACCATTATGAGCTATGTATGTAGCTAGCCACCTTGTATCATCACAAGCTACCCACACCCTATGAAACTGTTAGCCACACACCACTACATTAGGCTGGTCATACATCATCACAATGCCAGCCAGCACACCATTATGTATGTAGCTAGCCACCTTGTATCATCACAAGCAGAGATGCAACTAAGTATTTAACATTTTTAAAAACATTCAGCTTAAACAAATAAAAACAAAATAGTTTTAAAATATATCTTAAAATGATATCAATAAAAGGTGTAGTTCCAGAAACAAAATGAGCAATAACAAAACTCAGGAAACACTGGAATCATCTTGTCAATAAAACAATTTGAGATCTGCTCTTTCTCTCAACTCAGCTGAAAATGAGTACCCGTGAATGTAGTGACACATTTCCATTACAGCCAGTATACACTGCAGTCTTTTTACTAAAAAAACATGGTCTATGAGATTTAGGGCAGTCTTGCAAATATTGGATAGGAATAAAAATGGCATGCAAATTTCAAACAGATTAAAGTAGATCAAATAGTGAGGATGGAAGAGAAGTGATAGAAAAAAATAACAGAACCAGAAAGACAAATTTTATCATAAGTACACTGCATGTAAAACTGCACAAAAACCAGAAACATGAACATTTGATAAAAAAAAAAATTTAACACTGATCATGCAACTGCAGTTAGTTTTAAATAGAAACATACAACCGTAGTTTGTTTAAAGTAGAAACTTTCATACAAAATTATTCTGGTGCACAAAATTCATAGTACCACATATTGATTAAAAATACAAGTTCTTTTCCATTGACAGCAGCTCTAGCAATTGAGTACCTCCAAGTTGTAAGAAAAACAGATTTTTTATCACAAATATATGGCTCAAAGCTTGTGTTAAAACACTTCTCTGTACAAGCTACACTGACATTACTAAATGTTTTGATAAAGATTTGTAGTACAAAATATTACAGTCCAAAAGTAAATGGCAGCTACAGCTGTTAGACATGTGCTTCTAATCAGAGAGGACCATGGGGACAAATAGAAAAGTTGAGCGTGTCTTAAGATCTAGAATTTTGACAGTGGTTTTCATTGATATCACACCTAGTCTTCTTTTTCTTCTTCTTCGTTCTTAATTATTAGTGTTGAAGGGGATCGAGATTTATCTGCCAGTGGGTTTGAACTCGAGACTTTGTTCGAATTTATCAACCATGAGCTTTTTGCCAACTCGACCACGCCTCCAACACAATTAAGCGTTACGTGTCAACTGGTTATGCGCCATTGAGGCCATTGACTCCGATTTCAGCCTGCTTTTCTTTTTGGATTTGCTTCCATAGCCTTTGTCCAACCAAGCACAAACTACAAGGCAGCAGTAGTTTAATTTTGGAGTTGTCTCTCCTAGAAAAGTGGCTGTCCCCAGCTAACGAGCCTCATCTGCCCGAGGGTTCGAACTCGAGACTTTTCGGTTTAGCAACCATGAATCACACCTACAACCTATAACAAAATAATGCATTGCTATACCTATTACAACCCAAATGTTATTTAAGTTCTTATAACAAGGAAGCTATAAATCTATGAATTGTCATAAAAAATGTAACATTGACTAAGTAACAAAATGTAACTACCCATTCTTTTAGCTTAGGATTGTGGTAAGTAAAGTAGCCAAAAATTATAACATTGACAGAATAACTTTTTGTTAAATTAATCCAAGTTTAGCTTAGGATTGAAATATTTTTTGTTTATAAAACTAAGATAATATAACTAAAAACATTTAAAATCAGGTAATTAAAAAACTACAGTGCCCAGGCCTTTAGTTCCCTAAAGACTTCATGAAAGACTCCATATTGTATTCTTGTTCATACAATGACTCATCCCACAACTCCTCCAACCCTTCTAGAATGGCCTTGACATTTTCCTTTTTGGGAGCTTTGCCAGCATTTTTCTCCTGGTCAGCAGATGTTGCCTCTTTGCCCTTCTTGTTGTCGTCCAGGACGAAGAGGTCCAGCAGCTGGTCAGTGCCCATGGTCTGGAGGCTGGAGTTCTCTTGGGTGATCACAGTGTTGGCTACAGCCATCTTAAACTTCTGCAGCCTGGAGACAGAGAGACATGGTTTAGGTGGGGAAATCTTTGGTTTAGACAAGAGACAGAGAGACATGGTTTAGGTGGGGAAATCTAACATCTTTGGTTTAGACAAGAGACAGAAAGACATGGTTTAGGTGGGGAAATCTAACATCTTTGGTTTAGACAAGAGACAGAAAGACATGGTTTAGGTGGGGAAATCTTTGGTTTAGACAAGAGACAGAGAGACATGGTTTAGGTGGGGAAATCTAACATCTTTGGTTTAGACAAGAGACAGAAAGACATGGTTTAGGTGGGGAAATCTTTGGTTTAGACAAGAGACAGAAAGACATGGTTTAGGTGGGGAAATCTAACATCTTTGGTTTAGACAAGAGACAGAAAGACATGGTTTAGGTGGGGAAATCTAACATCTTTGGTTTAGACAAGAGACAGAAAGACATGGTTTAGGTGGGGAAATCTAACATCTTTGGTTTAGACAAGAGACAGAAAGACATGGTTTAGGTGGGGAAATCTTTGGTTTAGACAAGAGACAGAAAGACATGGTTTAGGTGGGGAAATCTAACATCTTTGGTTTAGACAAGAGACAGAAAGACATGGTTTAGGTGGGGAAATCTAACATCTTTGGTTTAGACAAGAGACAGAAAGACATGGTTTAGGTGGGGAAATCTTTGGTTTAGACAAGAGACAGAAAGACATGGTTTAGGTGGGGAAATCTTTGGTTTAGACAAGAGACAGAAAGACATGGTTTAGGTGGGGAAATCTTTGGTTTAGACAAGAGACAGAAAGACATGGTTTAGGTGGGGAAATCTTTGGTTTAGACAAGAGATAGAAACACATGGTTTATGTGTGGAAATCTAACATCTTTGGTTTAGATAGAAAAGAAAAGTAGAGATCTTAACATAATTGAGTAACATTTTGGTTTTAAAATTTTACTAAACTCAAAAAAAAGTTTGTTTCTCTTTTATCTATTTATAATCTACTGTTTTACCAATGTAAAATTAATTACAGTTAATATTACTAAACATCTATGTGTGTACATGTATTTGAATATGCATATACTAAATGAAACAAATACAAAATATTTAATTTGGTAAGGAGAGGTGGGGTTACTTACAGAGAAACTGGAATACTTGAAAAGAGTTTTTAAAAATCAAAGATATAAAATGAGTCTTAAAACTACTTACCCCATAATTTTTTCTTCAAGGGTCCCTCTAGCTACAAGCCTGTAAACATTAACAACTTTTTTCTGGCCAATACGATGGGCACGGTCCATGGCCTGTAATGGAAGTATAGACGATTTGATTATTTAGCTTTAGTAATATATTGGTTACATTTTGTTCTGGATGTGCCTTTAGATGTAATCAAGGTACAGCCTTGCCTGTAAATTAAGGTAAAAATTTACCTGTAAATATTGATATAGCTATAAATAAAGGTGCACCCTTACCTGTAAATCTTTCATTGGGTTCCAGTCATGCTCCACAAAGACCACAGTATCAGCACCAGTCAGATTGAGACCCAGGCCTCCAACATGTGTAGTTAGCAACAGCAGGTCAATGGAGGGATCATTGTTAAATCTGTAGGTAGAGTAGGTCAATAGAGGGATCATTGTTAAATATGTAGGTAGAGTAGGTCAATAGAGGGATCATTGTTAAATCTGTAGGTCAATAGAGGGATCATTGTTAAATCTGTAGGTCATTAGAGGGATCATTGTTAAATATGTAAGTAGAGTAGGTCAATGGAGGGATCATTGTTAAATCTGTAGGTAGAGTAGGTCAATAGAGGGATCATTGTTAAATCTGTAGGTAGAGTAGGTCAATAGAGGGATCATTGTTAAATATGTAGGTATAGTAGGTCAATAGAGGGATCATTGTTAAATATGTAGGTAGAGTAGGTCAATAGAGGGATCATTGTTAAATATGTGACTAGAGTAGGTCAATAGAGGGATCATTGTTAAATATGTAGGTAGAGTAGGTCAATAGAGGGATCATTGTTAAATATGTAGGTAGAGTAGGTCAATAGAGGGATCATTGTTAAATATGTAGGTAGAGTAGGTCAATAGAGGGATCATTGTTAAATCTGTCAGTAGAGTAGGTCAATAGAGGGATCATTGTTAAATCTGTCAGTAGAGTAGGTCAATAGAGGGATCATTGTTAAATCTGTCAGTAGAGTAGGTCAATAGAGGGATCATTGTTAAATCTGTCAGTAGAGTAGGTCAATAGAGGGATCATTGTTAAATCTGTAGGTAGAGTAGGTCAATAGAGGGATCATTGTTAAATATGTAAGTAGAGTAGGTCAATAGAGGGATCATTGTTAAATATGTAAGTAGAGTAGGTCAATAGAGGGATCATTGTTAAATATGTAGGTAGAGTAGGTCAATAGAGGGATCATTGTTAAATATGTAGGTAGAGTAGGTCAATAGAGGGATCATTGATAAATCTGTCAGTAGAGTAGGTCAATAGAGGGATCATTGTTAAATCTTGAGGTAGAGTAGGTCAATAGAGGGATCATTGTTAAATCTGTAGGTAGAGTAGGTCAATAGAGGGATCATTGTTAAATCTGTCAGTAGAGTAGGTCAATAGAGGGATCATTGTTAAATCTGTCAGTAGAGTAGGTCAATAGAGGGATCATTGTTAAATCTGTCAGTAGAGTAGGTCAATAGAGGGATCATTGTTAAATATGTAGGTAGAGTAGGTCAATAGAGGGATCATTGATAAATCTGTCAGTAGAGTAGGTCAATAGAGGGATCATTGTTAAATCTTGAGGTAGAGTAGGTCAATAGAGGGATCATTGATAAATCTGTCAGTAGAGTAGGTCAATGGAGGGATCATTGTTAAATCTGTCAGTAGAGTAGGTCAATAGAGGGATCATTGTTAAATATGTAAGTAGAGTAGGTCAATAGAAGGATCATTGTTAAATCTGTCAGTAGAGTAGGTCAATAGAGGGATCATTGTTAAATCTGTAGGTAGAGTAGGTCAATGGAGGGATCATTGTTAAATGTGTCAGTAGAGTAGGTCAATAGAGGGATCATTGTTAAATATGTAGGTAGAGTAGGTCAATAGAGCGATCATTGTTAAATCTGTAGGTAGAGTAGGTCAATAGAGGGATCATTGTTAAATATGTAAGTAGAGTAGGTCAATAGAGGGATATTGTTAAGGGCATGGGCGGGTGTACTTTTCGTCATAAATCCACTAAATCCTCGATTTCCCACTTTTACTTGATCTATACAGAATAACCATCGTTGAATCTAAAAATGACATTGTTATGACCCTAAAAACAGTATTTAATTATGAAAAACCGGGTTCAATGTAGTGTGTACAGGGTCTTTTGTTTAATTTTTTGGTAAAAATAGCAATTTTTCAACCTAGAAAAGTACTATTAGGCTTCGCGGAAACCTAAAGTGTTTCATATCAATGGAAAGGCTGTGACCTCCTTTCTATATTTGTTCTAAAATTAAATGACCATCAAAATACCTATTTTAATGTGATTATTTTTCTACGTCATAAAGTTGTTTATTTTACTCAGTCGGGTTTTTCCGGTATGCAAATTTTTTACCTCAATTTTTTCATTGGCATACGACGGCGGAAGCTAGTTAGCGATTGGTCGTTTCGCTTCGGAAGTAAACATTCCCTTAGTTTCAGCGCGTTGCTAAGTTTGATCTAGTTTTGTTTCTCTAAGCTTCTGTAAAATACTTACATTATTTTAACATATAATTATTTCAATTAAATATACTATTAACAGTTTAGATTAGTTTGTGTGAATTATCATAAGCAGTGAGACGATTTAATTTGTTTCTCTTTCGATAATGCGTAGAACAAAACACTCGCTAAAAATAGATACACACATCTAACTAATATACTAAAGCTAGGGCACGTCCGAATGCAACTGATTGCAGCTACCTCTACTCAATCTAGCACTAATCAGACAAGCACTGGTGCAGATGTAATATGCACATTTACTAAGAAACTGCGGCAATGTAAGACACGGTTTTTACAGACAGAAGAAAGCACTGTTACATCTAGTACTGGTAGTGCTAATTGTAAACCACAGCAATGCAGAATTATTGTCGAATGTGATTTGCTTCTTGATGTTATCAATACATTTCCTCGCACACTGATTTAGTGGCTGCTATTGATGAAAAAAGTGTAAAGGGTTTGATTCAAGCATGGTGTGGCAGTAATAAAAATGTTGTAAACCGTAAGTATACAACTGCAAAAGAATCCAGAACAAGGCCTTTCACAATACACAAAGACAGCGTCTTATCATAATTGGCTTTAGACATGAGACCATGCAAAATATACTGCTGTTTCTGCGATAGCATAATTCAATTTTGGGCCCAGGCCTGCTATGGCATTGCTGTCAAAAGAAGGAAACCATAGTCGAGGACCCAGTGAAGGACGCGAAAAAAGTCGCCATGACAACAGCTTTACTACAACTCTAGGTAACACAAAGAGCGCCAGAAAAAAGAAAACTGACAGCCGAACAAGCTCAGAAGGAATATATTCAGCAGCACCATACTTCAGGCTATAAATGTGGTCGATTTTAGTGACATACAGCGATAAATGTTCATTTTTTGCAACTTTTTGTTAGTTTTTTGCGTTTTTCTCAGTTTGATGTTTTTTTGTACAATTGTTGAAATAACTTTGTTAATAATTATCAGAACTGAACTAAATTTGCTCCAGTTACTCTTTATATATGTTCAAATAAAACTGATAGAACACTTTTGGAATTTTTGTAAAAAAAAAATTTTTGTTGTTGAAATAGTGAAAAAATTGGACGAAATAAAGAAATTTTTACAGTAATGTTTGAAAAAAATAAATTAAAAAAAAACTATTTTCTTTTTTGAAAATGTAATCTATCAGAAGTCTTAAACACATGTGTCTGCAGACTATATTAAGTTTTCATGAAATTTATACAAACCATTTTTGAGTTATTTCCATTTAAAAATCGTCAATAAAATCCAATATGGCCGCCGCCACCATGGCAACGGAAGATTTAAAAAATTTAAAAAAATATTTTTATGCTTAACTCTTTGAGTTATAACTATTAGCCAAGTATTATATCTTTAGACTCGGAAATAAGGAAGTTGGTACTCATCACCCACCCATGCCCTTAAATATGTAGGTAGAGTAGGTCAATAGAGGGATCATTGTTAAATATGTAGGTAGAGTAGGTCAATAGATGGATCATTGTTAAATCTATAGGTAGAGTAGGTCAATAGAGGGATCAATCTTAAATCTGTCAGTAACAGAGTAGATCAATATATGAATCAGAGAAAGATATCATTAAAATATCCAGGAAACTACTCTAACAGACACACCACCTATATTCACCCATTACTAACCTATGCACTATGTCATGTCTGGAGCCTGCAGGCACACTGCCATCAAGTCTCAGGAATGTTACACTTGGCATCTGGGCCCTAGGTGTAAACAAACACAAATATTTTTTATAGCACATTTCATCTAAGTCATACCACAATTGTTATGGTAATTTTTACCAGTGTGAGCAAACTGAAAAAAATGTGTATAGATTTTGTTAGGTCAAAGGTCATATATTAAAATAAATAATTTCTATTGGTTTATGGTTTAGGTGTTTGAGTCAAATGTAGAAGAATTTATACAACTGTGCATTTCAAATAATAACTCGCTACACCCAAAAACTGATTTAGGTGATCGTATTATGAGTGATAATTTACGCTGTAACAGAATAGATTCAGATTTTAACCAGTAATTAGAAAATAACTGAGCATACAAAATTTAAATTAAACCTTTGCAATCAGAAACATTTTAGATAATTTAAGACCAGTTTGAAGTAATAATAAGAAATATACTTTAATATACACTATTAAAACAAAAAAAAAGATTCTAAAAGAAGACATGAAAAGAAGAGAATAGAGAAAAATCCCAAGCAACTAACTTGAGCAAATCTTTTTCCACAATGTCCAAGAGACTCTTCAGCTGGAAGAAGAGCAGGACCCTGTGTTGGTTGACCACTGGCACACTGTCCACTCCTGCTGGGGAACCCTGGGTTACACTGGTGCTATTGGTCAGACCAATACCACAGTCATTCAGCAGTTGTCTGGAGATTCAAATAACATTTGATTAATAACAAACAAAATAAAGAACATTTTCAAAACTACTTTTGCAGTATTATGTCCACCAAGCTTTATTTTTCAACACTTAAGTCAGTAACCCATTAGGGCCTAGTGAACCAAGAGGAGTAATACAGAATTCAGCCACGAAACAAATTTGATACTTTTTGGATTAGCCAAGTTTGAGCTTTACCACAAAAAACATTAATTAGTTCATGTTTTTAACTTATTTTCAATTATAACCAATTGTGATTTTCAACTTATTTACTATTTTAATATACTTTATTTTATTACTTATAATTACTTGCTGCACCTGTAATAATTCAATTACTTACAAGTATAATTGGAAAATAAAAAAAGGAATTAATGACACAAAATAAAAAAAATAAAATGAATTGAAAATTACTTTAAAGCATTGAGCTTGGGAGCATGTGAGAGATCATGAAGATTTGTATTCTGTTGCTGCAGGTTGGCCATGATCTGCTTGTAGCGAGGGTGGGACTGGTTGACAACCAGCGCAGGATGGTTGCACACTTTACGCAGGTACTGCAGGGCCTGTCAACAGAAATTGCTTAATTAAACTATGTATAAAATTACTTCAAGACTTTTTAAAATACATTTACACAGCTTTTTAAAATAGTGTATTATTCAAATTAGTTGTGCTGAATCATATATATATTATTCTGTATTTTTATGCATTTACTGAACAGTTTCCCATCAAATAAACTGATGAATTCTATCTGTCTCACAGACCATCTGTTCTGAAAGGGTGGTATTTTTTTTACTAAATCTACAGCACAATTTGTGAGAATGAAACAATTAACATGAATTTTGAATTGTTTTCTACCTGGAAAATGTGAGTTGTCCCTTGGTTGGATCCGCGCTTGTCCTTGCTGTCCTCACTACCCGCAACTGTCTCCTCCACATTACGCTTGGCTCTAGACTTGGCAAAGTCTTCATACAGTTCAATCTGTCACACACACAAAACAACAAATTACCTTCTGCAGTATAACATGGTTATAAAACATTTTTTTAAACCCTTATTTTAAAAACACACCTGTAGTGGACTAAGATCACAGTAGTAATCTTGAATGATCTTAGGGGGTAGATCTTGTAAGACATCTTCCTTGAGCCGACGGAGAATAAATGGCAGAACTTGGCGGTGAAGGGATTCCATAGCTAAGGCACCTGACAAGACATAAGGGTAATATTTTAGATCTGAATAAATGACACAATGTATTTTTGTTTAAAATCTAAAAAACATTTTAAAAATAACATATTTTCTGCTGTATTTTGTTAGTAAATATTGAATGGTGTCGAGCCTACATGAAGTAACTTCAAACTTTATTAGGGTTCGCACTACTCATTTATTATTTCTAAACAAATTCTATCTAATGAAACAAAGTTATCTGTAATTGGACTAAACCATATTATCTTTCAGTGATACAGAATTGGTCAAATAACAAAACAGCTTAAAACAACACAACATACCAGCTTCTTGTTCCTTAATGGAACTCTTCCCATCTCTGCTCTGTAGGATGGGTTTCCCATACTTGGCTTGAAATTGCTTCTCGGTGCCAAGAAAACCAGGCATGAGGAAGTCAAAGAGTGACCAGAGGTCAAGCACATTGTTTTGAATAGGAGTGCCAGAGAGTATCAACCTATGGTTGCAGATCAGTTGTTTGGTTGCCTTGGCTAACTATAAAAGAAAGAATATCAAATTTGAACATTTTGTAACTTTATTCATTTACATAATGTTAAATATGTAGACAGTTTTAGCTTTCTATTTTTATAGTTGCGATAATCAATTATAAAACCCTTTACTAATAAATTATGTTACTGTAAATGTAAATTCTGCATTAATTAGTTTTTAGTTACAAAACTACATCTTAACAAATACAAATTGCAGCTAAACTACACTGTGAGCTAAACACATTGTGAGCTAAAATGTTAGACAAGAAGAAGAGGATTGCTCTTTACCTTTGTTTTTCCATTTCTAATAATATGGCCTTCATCAAGCACACAGTAGTTCCAGCGCAAGGAGCTGAAAGTTTACACATGTGTAGTAATATAGTAGGGATCATATATTATTAAAAACCACTACTTAAGTAGTTTGGTACATAATTAGACTTTCTATTAGCTTTGTAGCTAACTGGTGTGGTAAATGGTATATCATTAGATTTCATGCACAATACCTGACACTCACCTAAAGAAATCAATGTCATTCCTTACGACGTCATAAGAAGCAACAATTAAGTTATGTTTTGGCACTCGCTTTTGTAACCTGTAAAATGGAAGGCCCAGAATTATTGTTTCCAATTTTAATTTTGCATTACTTTCATTGTAGTTTAAAAGAATTGTCAAATGGTATCAAGATTGAAAAAAATGGGTTCAAACCTGTTTCGCTCGGCTGGTGGACCAACATACATGAGTGGGTTGAGGTAAACAGGGTCAACAAATTTGTTGACCTCGTACACCCAGTGACCAACCAGGGTAGGTGGACAGACAACAATGGAGGGTAGGGGAGCTGAGTCTGGGTCTTGGGATTCCTGTGGAGGGAGGTGGAGGGGAAAAATAAAGTACAGAAACTTACATATTATAACAGCTTAAAGAGATGACATTACCTAAAGTTTTATAACAATGGCATTACATGGCTAACATTTTAGTAACTAACACAGGTTATAAGGATGACCTTTTAGTAAATTACACAGATCACAAGCTTACAAAGATGATATTACAGTAACTTACAGAGATTCCATTACAACCACTTAAACAAAAACATGAAAGTAGTTCCATACAAAGAAATAAAATAGTAAACTAAGCATGTTCATATATTCAAAGTTCACTGACCTTGTGCCTGTTTTCCCTCTCCAGATGGTCAGTGGCCATGACACATATAGACTGTAGAGTTTTCCCTAAACCCATGTCATCACACAAGATACCATGAAGCTTGTATTTGTTGAGAAACCCTAACCAGTTGACACCATCCTGGCAATAAAAAACATAACACTGGAACCATCTGCCTAGTCTTTTAACTAAAACAATTTGGAATTCTTTTTTTTAATAACAAAATTGATTTCTCAGACAACAGAGATATAACTAATTTAATACTTGCAGGGTATGGACCAAACTAAATATTTAGAAATTAAAAAAATGAATCATTACAAAAAAACGTATGGACAGAGTGGTCATCTCTACTTCAGCTGCCACATGAATCATAAGGTGGTAAAGGGTACTTTACCTTTCTATTTTAGAAAAACATATGACTCTCCCCACTACAGTGCAGCAGCTTTGGGAACCACTTACCTGTTGGTACTTTCTAAGCTCAGCATTGACAGGCACTGTGATCTTGTAATTCTCTAATTTAGACATATCAAAGAGCTGCTCAAGGAATTTTCTTTCACGTTCTTTGCGATCTACAAGCCACGATTCAGTTGATGGGGGATCAGGGATCCCAGCCTAAACGAAAAGAATACAAAACAAATTTGTACTTAGCGATGTAAAGAAAAAATTATTTCGTTTTTTTTTTCAAATTCAATATAATTTGTTCAATTAATTAAATTATGAATTTAAAAAGTGTAATATTTAATACTTTAATTTTTGTTTTATAATTTCTTAAATAATTTTTTATGTTTCTATTTTATTAAAGACGATTTTTAATAAAGGTATGTTTATATCTTCAAAGACACTGGCTACATACCTCAAGAGGCATCAGACGAATGAGTGTAGCAAAACAATGTGTGGCCATAAGACGCACAGATGGTGTTTGGTCAGACATGCGGCCTAGGATAGGAATCACAAGCAGGACAACATAAGGCAATGATTCTATGCCCAGAGATTCTAATATATCTGAACACATCATTAAGGAACTACAAGATGGTTGTAAATGGTGATGAAAAATTCAATCTCTTCTATACACAGTTGTCATCCTGTGGTCATGTTGTTTATATTTAAAAGAGTCATCAGTAAATTGTATTGTCATAAAGTGAAACAAAAGAATTTCATTTGGTTTAAGGTGACATGATAGGTCATATAGTATAACAAAAATTATTTTAATTTTTTTGTATGATGATAAGGTCATAATGTGTAACAAAAAATTTTTTTTAGTTTTTTATGTGATATACTGTGTAACAAAAAATTATTTAAGTTTATTTTAGTTGTGATAGACAAGGTTATAATGTGTAACAAAAGTATTTCTCTTGTATATAACAATGATATAAAAGGATACTGGCTATGACTTCTGTCCCCCCTTCTCTTTTCATCTCATCGTCAGTAGCCCCTAGCAGAGGCAACACGTGGTCAATGATAAAATGCATAACTTTAAGAGTGCTGCGCTGGCAGAGTGCTGCAATCACCCGTGAGATCATGTGACGGACAGCAGTGGAATTGTGAGACAGGTGAATCAACATTTTATCCAACTCATCTAGAAGCTGTAATAGATATTTAAATGAGTCAACATTTTATCCAACTCATCTAGAAGCTGTAAAAGATATTTAAATGAATCAACATTTTATCCAACTCATCTAGAAGCTGTAATAGATATTTAAATGAATCAACATTTTATCCAACTCATCTAGAAGCTGTAATAGATATTTAAATGAATCAACATTTTATCCAACTCATCTAGAAGCTGTAATAGATATTTAAATGAATCAACATTTTATCCAACTCATCTAGAAGCTGTAATAGATATTTAAATGAATCAACATTTTATCCAACTCATCTAGAAGCTGTAATAGATATTTAAATGAATCAACATTTTATCCAACTCATCTAGAAGCTGTAATAGATATTTAAATGAATCAACATTTTATCCAACTCATCTAGAAGCTGTAATAGATATTTAAATGAATCAACATTTTATCCAACTCATCTAGAAGCTGTAATAGATATTTAAATGAATCAACATTTTATCCAACTCATCTAGAAGCTGTAATAGATATTTAAATGAATCAACATTTTATCCAACTCATCTAGAAGCTGTAATAGATATTTAAATGAATCAACATTTTATCCAACTCATCTAGAAGCTGTAATAGATATTTAAATGAATCAACATTTTATCCAACTCATCTAGAAGCTGTAATAGATATTTAAATGAATCAACATTTTATCCAACTCATCTAGAAGCTGTAATAGATATTTAAATTAATCAACATTTTATCCAACTCATCTGTAATAGATATTTAAGGGACTTAAATATAGTCTATCCATGAAGCAAAACTTCTTTTTGATTCACTGCTTGTATTTTGAAGTTATTGAAACCCATTTCTTATGGATACATGACTAAACTGGAAAATTTTATACATGTATAAAAACTGTAAATACTGTTTAAAAAAATATTATAAGATAGATCTTGATATAACAAATGCATAACCATGAAAAAAAAACTATTGTAATAATAAATAGCACAAAAAATTATTCAAAAAAATAAGTTGTTTAATGAGCTTTGCGGTGATGAACGGGTTTTTTGGTGTGCAAATACTTTTTTTTTAAAAATAAACAATAGATTTAAATTACTTACAGAAGGCAGTAGCTCTTCATGTAGAGAAGGAAGAATACATTCAATGGTCTGAAGGTTATTTACAAACTCTTGTGTTGAAGGTACATCTACACCATTAGATTCTTCTGTTTTTTCTAGTAAACATTCAGTATGAAGAGTACATTTAAAATTCTTTTTATCTCTAACTAAAATACCAAAGTGAACTCCAATAAAAGGACTTTGACAAAAAATAAAATGTTTGTTTGTGGTATTTAAACTGACTGAAATTCATTTCCAGTGATGTAAATGGGTATAAAACATGGTAAAGGGGTACTAAAGCATAGTATGACAAATATAGGGTAGGGGAAAAGAAATATATGGGAAAAGCTGTGCAATTTTTTTAAACTAAAAGTTTAACATGAGAAATCATAAAATATCAGTGGGAATTTGCCTACAAATGGAAAATTGGATTTCTGTAAAATTATTGAAAAGTTACATCTTTGCATAGAATTTTTTCAAGCTGTAAATAAGTTTACATTACTAAAAAATAACTGAGTTTAAAGGTTGAGAAACTTAAAAATAAATTTAAAAAAATGAAGTACTACTTTTTCCTTTAGGACTAATAATAATAATGAAAATCCTACCTTTTTGTGTATTCTCAACAACTTTAAATGTATCCACACACACACTCCATAAAGAAGGCAACTGGGATGGCAGTGTTTCGTTAAAGGTCTTACACAGGGTAGTCAATGCTGCTTCAGCCCCTTGTCTCTGTGTTGTCAGTTGTTTCTGTTGCTGTTAAATGGGTTTTTTCTTACAGTAAGTTCATCATTTTATAAATTAAATTTTCATATGTAGCCTATATTTTTGTCCTCATAAATTGGACTGCGTGCTGTTTTGCTTTAAGACATTCCAGTAAGACATACATTACAGTAAAACTTAGTTACTTAGTTAGGGATTTATTTATTATTTTTACAGCTCACAATTTTCAATGAGGCTATTCAAAATTAAATTTTTGTTTTTATTAAATAATAACCTCAACTAATGAAATAAAATCTATTCTTAAACATACAGTCAACTGCTTTTGCTATTTAATTTGACTTTATACACTACCAGTTTCATATACGCATTCACCAAACCCATCTCAATAATTATATCGTCCACACTGACAAAATCGGATTGTGAAATCATATGAGTAGGGTGTGTGTTGACCTCCGCCAAACCCCTAAGACTGATTCACAGAACAGCTGAGGTTGGATCGACCCCAGGTTAAGGACCGCTGAACTAAAACTTCGAATAGTTATTTTGCACTGACCTACTTTTATCATATAAACAATTAGCTTTTCTCTGTAAATTAATAAATTCTTAAATTAATTTAATGTATATTTAACCCTTTGCTAGAACATGCATGTTTGATGCATAGACAGTTATTTTTGTGTGATCTCTGACTCTAACTCTTCACAGACATACCTCTAACTGTTCAGTCCTCTCCTGTGAGAGTTCAGCCTCTAAGCTGACAGCAGCCGCATCACCTTTAAGTAAATTTGATGTCTTGCGCATTCTTCTCCTAATACTCTGCTCATTCACCTGAAGAAAAATATATAATATGTTAGCTTGTGTGATTGATAGTTTATGGTTTGTTTTGTTTGTTTTGTAAGAAAAAGTAGTATAAATTGACGGAAAATGAAATACTTTTTAATAGCTGTCTTTTTAAATTTATAAAACATTTTCTAAAATTAAAAATACTATGAGCTAAAAAAGTGACATTATTGAATATTTCAATTCTAACACAGCGTTTACACTTGCGACATGTATATGATACATGTGTAGACATGTATATGATACATGTGTAGGAAAAACAAAACTTGCATCAAGTTAATGTTATATAAAAACATTCTTCCAGCGGAACATGTATTCTAACTTGCTGCAAGTTGTTTTTTTTTAGCCGTGTATACATGCCGCAAGTGTAAACACGGTATAAGAAAAAGTTATGCTATCAGAGTAAATAAAGGGAGATAACCTTTTGTAGATTAGAGAGAGTGAGTATTCCCTTTGACATTGTACAAGTTATCTCCAAGTTACTAGCTTCAGCACCTGTAAGGTAGAGTTTTAAAATATGTTATTGTGTGTGAGTTTAATATTACAATTTACATCTAAGTCAATATGCACATTTGCTCTGATTAATTATAAAAGAATGTACATTTATAATGCTATCCTTGTATGAAAATAAATGATACATTTTACAGCATATTAAAAAAAAAAGTTCAGTATGCTGTGTAGCAAGCTATATTTAAACAAAGGCCTCACCATGAGACAAGATGGTTGGTGCTGGGTTGGTGACATTGGGGGTTACAGTGGGGTCCACACAGAGGAAGTTGCAGAGGTTTTTCACTATTTTGGAGTTAGGGCTGGGATCTCTATTGATGCAAGCCCTGATGAGCTCAGCCAAACAACTGGCAGCTTCCTCCTGTAGATTTCAAGTTAAGGAAATATAAAGTCAACTGTGAATACTCTGTGCTAAAGACATTACATAAAAACTAAAGATTACTTATAAACTGTAAATACTACTCGATTCATTTTAAACTCACAAGATGCTTATATAGATCTTCAAACAGCTATTTATCATTTCTTATGAAAGAAAACTATTAACCTCATCCAATAATAAATTACCTATTAATTGATTACAAAATTAATAATTAAAATATTGGCTAAAATGTCCCTACCTGTAATAATTCATTCTCCTCTTTTTTTATGACATCCATCAAGGGCCGAACTACAGGGTTCAACTTCTCAGGTAATGCATCCAATGTTACTACAGCCATGGCTAAGCTACATAAAACTCTGAAAATACCAAACAAGTTACAACTGATGGACTTGACTCACATAGTGATTTAAGGCTGCTAACAGTACAACAATAGTTTTAAACACATTTTTCAAATGGAGTAAACAGGCAAAATAAACATAACGTTTGATCACTCATTTGGGCATTAGTCGTATTTAAGCAAATGGCATTTGTCACATTCTGGCAAATGTCCATTCAAGCATTTGTCACATTTGGGCAAAAGGCATTCAGGTGAGTGTCTTTCAGGCAAATGTCTGGCTCCCATTTAAAAGAAGTAACAAAATATCCATCTAAAAAAATGTGAACCCAGCTCTGATGGGCATCTTATGTGAGTCTTGGAGTACGCAACTCTTCATAAGCAAAAACTAAATTAGGTGAATAATTATATTTAATCTGCCAAACTGACCACCTTGATCTTAACAATTCCTTAGCTAGACTGACCTGACACTGTATGTCTGCTGGTCCTGAGATGTGAGAGTGACCATTGTACTAAGCTGTTTCTGGCGCTCATCAAATCTTGCCATGACCTGAGGTTTGAGCAGAGGCCTGACCTGCTTGTACGTTGTTGAGGTGAGGGTCTGTGCTGCCTCGAGGGTAAGTAGTTGCCTGCATGACAGTCAAGGAGAAAACAAAATTAAGTATTAAATTGTTCTTTGTTATTCTTTTAACAGTTATGAACTTTTTTTATGGAATGGTTTGGTCAAATGGTAGAGTGTTTGGCTGCTAATCCAAAGGTCTCAAGTTTTTATCTCAGACTTAAGACTGGAGGACTTTCCTAAGTCCACTCAGCTCTGAGGGGTACCTGATTTACATAGGGTGGAAATAGTGCTGACCACATTATCCCCTTGCATGCAGAGGTCATTGAAACATAAACTCTACTTCATCTGCCCCATGAATCTTGGGCATAAACAGGAAAAGATTGAGCTTGGTTGAAAAATCATTAAAATGTAACATTTTCATAAAATATATCATATTTAAAACAAATACAACTATGTATAAATGTAAGTTTCTCATAATAATGAAATAAAACTTAAATAAATATATATTCAAAATACTTTTAACATAATACTGCTTAACAAGAGCAATGATGACATGTTTTTGAGCTAGCTATCATGCAAACACATCTACAAACCGTGGTGGGTATGTCTCATCCAAATTGACACCATTCTGTTTCAGTGAGGCCAGGAAATCCTGGCAGTCATTCTGCATGCGGGTGAAAGCGATGGCGATCTCATCGTAGTAGATCAAATCACAGAGGCAGCTCATCAGCTGTTTAACAACTTCTGGGGGACACTGACATGGCTGGGGTACAGGAACATTCAGTCCTTTTAAATATGATACTATCAAGGATACTGAAGCTTTAACTCTTTAGATTAGGTTTGGGGTTGACATGCAATAATCCTTAACACTGGCTTAACCAATGCGGGATTAGCTCATCAATGAACACTTAAGTTTTCAACTATTGTAAAAATTTATTACAGTTAAAAAAGGATCATGGCTCTGATACTTCAAATTGTAGAAATACAATTAAAAATTATATTAATACTTTTTATTCATTTGTATAAAGTAACACACTCCTTAACTAGTAAATTGCTTTATATAAATGACTGACAATTTCTTTTTAATTAAAAAAAAAACAGGCTTTAAAAAGAAGCTCTCAGCTAAAAGAAAATATAAAAATGAAAAAAAAAACATCTTAGCTTAAACAACTGGCTAATTGTGATTTAACATGATTACAAGTAAATACAAGCAGCTGTCCAAAATGAATTGAAATCCCCCCTTACCTTGCTCTGAAGTGCCCAGAAATAGATGGCCTGCCCAACAACAAATCTCTGGACAGCTGACTTTCCATTCAGGTGGAACAGAAACAATTTCTCCAACACTAAAGTTGGTGGCTCCTGCCCTAATGGTATAATCAGTTTTGGGCTGCACAAATGGGTGGCCAGCATTCCAAATAGCCTGAAAATAATGGGTTTTGTTAAAAACAGCATTCTTCACACAAAGAAGAGGGGTCGGCGTGGTTGAGTCGGTAAAGCTCATGGTTGCTAAACCGAAAAGTCTCGAGTTCGAACCCTCGGGCAGATGAGGCTCGTTAGCTGGGGACAGCCACTCTTCTAGGAGAGACAACTCCAAATTCAAACAACTGCTGCCTTGTAGTTTGTTCTTGGTTGGACAAAGGCTATGGAAGCAAATCCAAAAAGAAAAGCAGGCTGAAATCGGAGTCAATGGCCTCAATGGCGCATAACCAGTTGACACGTAATCCTTAATTGTGATGGAAGCATGGTCGAGTCCGCAAAGCTCATGGTTGATAAATTCGAAAAAAAGTCTCGAGTTCAAACCCTCTGGCAGATAAGGCTCGATCCCTCCCAACACTAAAAATTAAGAACGAAGAAGAAGAAAGAAGAACACAAAGATATTGTAACTACGGTTGAAATGCTGGTGGGACAAAACCCACCCAATCATATTATTCTGCAGGTATCAAGGTTTGGGTCCAAGTTATAATTAGGGTTATAGTAATACTAAAATAAATTAGCTTCATCAATACATTTTACTAACATTCTAATACTACTTGCTACAAGGAGGAGGAAATGTAAATAAATTAAAATGTTGCAAACTACCTTGCACCACAAATGCGAGCCCTATAAATTGATGCATCTGTTTCTGATGTGCAGCCTATGGAAGCATCACACCCACCAATAAAGTTCTTGTAGTCTTGGACAGCATGCTTTACTTCACCCTGATATTTTACTTTTGTTGTGGAAGTTTCCTGAAAATTTGATTAATCTCACTCACAACTTTTAATTACATAAATTAAAATATATTTATAAAAATGGATTAACTCACCAAAATTATTACAATATTAATTTATAACAAATTTTTAAAAAGTTACAAAACCAGGTACTTTGTTTTAAAATGAGAACTGTTTGAGTTTTCATCTTATAACACTTTGTGGACTTACCCTAGGCTTATGCTTAGATTCAATGAGAAGACTTGGATCATAAGCTATCCTTGGGGGCTGCATGAGAAAAGCCAGCCACACCCCCAGCCAGGGGACAGACAGAGCATACAGGTGTTCCATGTTGGCACACTGTAGCAGGGATGTCCACACCTTCACAATAAGGGGCAACATGTCCGCCCTGTCCTCAAGGATGCTGCGCTGGTAGATGTGACGAACTGCATCTTGGTAGATAGGGATGAGCCATAAGCAGGTTCTCTGTTGCAAGCAAGTGGATTCAAATGTTGACTCAATAACAAAAATAAATGATGAACATACATAAATTATTTGATGCAATTATAAAGACAGTATTAAACATTCATTCTTATTAAAATACTGGTTGATCCAGACAGTTTTATGTTACATTTTTCAGCCTATATAAGGTTAGGAACAGTCCTGGATTAAGTACCAACAATTTAACATGCACACAGATTATTCTTGTGTAGATGTAATTACTATTCCAAACATATATATACAAGACATAAATGACAATATTAAATCATAGCGTAGCAAAAAAACATTTAGAATTGAAATATTTAAAAAAATTAAGAAACTGAAAAGCAACTAACCTCTCCATCGTGTAAGCCGAGCAGTGTGTGAAACGTCTCTAAAGCTGCACGTCGTACTGACACAATATTGTGCCTTAAGAAAGGCCACAGACGAGGGGTTAACTCTGTCAGTGAAACTGTCATACTAGTAGAATAAAACCATTTGGTGTTGTATTATTAAGCAATCCATTGACATATGCATATGATTCTATAATACTACAAGAAGTGTTACCTATTTCGAATGTTATTTGTAATTAGTATACTTGCAAAGATAGTGATTATAAGTCATTTCACTGTTTATTATATATAAGTAACAAAATTTCAAGGATGTGAATTTAGTAAACTTGAATGTTTCCATAATGAGAAAAAACTTACAAGATGATTTACTAATAAAAGAATGTGATAATGCTAAGAGTAATAAAAAAAAAAGAACTAACAAAGTTGATGATTTATAGAATAGAATATGACTTTAGTCTAGTTAAAAACAATTAACTAAGAACAGGGGTTAAAAGAACTTACAAAGTTGAAGATTTAGTAATAGAATGTGACATGAGTTTAGCTAGGAGTGTCATGATGCTGTTGGTTGAGGCAGTGAGATCATCCAAGTCTGACAATGTGTCCCATAGACAACTCAGTATGTTGGGTAACTGAAAGGTAGCATTGCATCAACAGTCAACTTTAAACTTGTAATTGGAGTTAAACGATTCATGTCAAAATTTTTATTTCCAACTATAAAATGTAAGTTATAATATAATTAATCAAAGGTTGGAAAAAAAAGTTACTAAATTATTTGTTTTGTGTTTACGTATAACAATAAAATGATAAAAAAACTGGCCACACCTGGTCAGGGACACACTGAACTAAAGAATCTGTCACTGGGATTAAGGCAGCAGCAGCAACTGCTCTGACGTCATCATCAGGGTCTCTAAGGCCATTGTAGATAGCAAACAACACCATGGGCAACAGCTGGGCTGTCAGGTCCTACAATCATTTCAACATCAAATGGTAAGGTAAATAGTTTTATAAGGCTTTAACAAAAGCTAAGGCATAATCTACTACAATAATAAATAATTTTAAAATGGTTCTGTAATGAAAAAAGTATTAAAATATTAGAAATACACAGAATATTTAAAAACACCACAAAACTTACAAAATAAAAAACAAGCAAATAATGATGCAATAGAAAGCTTACTTTTACAAAATACATAGGATTATTGCTTTTAATGTACATGCATTTTATATCCTACTTTGGGTGTCAAATAAGATTTTCAAATTGCTGAAAAGTTGATAAAGAACTACAAATTTGATATGGCAGGAAACAGATTCAACCCTCAAGCATCTACTTTTAGGGTCGATTTTCGCCAATTTTCAAAGTAACAATTATTGACATATTATATATCAATTTTGTTGCTTAACAATCGAGGAATTCAAAAATATAAAAATTAATAGCACTAGACATTTACATCACGTTCAAAATGTAGATTAACCACACTCACTCAACTGAGATTTTTTTTTACATCTAAATGTAGTGAGGTCTAAAAATCCACGAAATTCACAAAATTAACAATATAATTACACAGAAATGTCACTTAGGCATACATTTATTTGTAAATGTGTCAAACTTTACAAAATATACCAGTTTATAGCTTATTTCTATAATTATTCTTGAGAAAAAAAACGACCGCCCTCCCCTTTAAAATTCTGGCTTTTAGAAACACTCTGGGGAAGAAAAAAATAACAGAGTTAAATATAGAAGGTCTATATAAAAAACATAATTAATAAAATATGTCTATATGCCAATTTTTAATGTAGTTGCAGCATTTACATGGCTAATTATAATTGTTTAGTACTTTAAACATTAATTTAAAGTTAGGACTCTCTGTGGCGTCTTTCAAGTGTAGTGTCAGTGTAGGAGTGTAGGTGAACAGGGTGTTAGGGCCTGATACGATTTCATTAGAATTGGTAATGAACAGAATGTATAATTAGAACTGGCATATAAAAACAATGTTGATAATAGATGCAGTTGTTTTAATGCTACTTATAATAGATCAAAATGACAAACATAATTAAAACCCAAGAATCTGGAAGCGCTGACCTCATTTTACTGACACGGTTGTCAAATAGTAAGTAAGTAGATCTAGTAAGTAGATCTAGATCTAAAAAATAGATCTAGATTTACGTAATTTTGAAAATACGCTAGATCTAGATGCAAAATCACTTTTAAAAACTGAAGTTAGTGATTAGATCTATAATGAAATTGAAATCAACAACTGATATGTAAGTATCTTTTGATTTAAAAAAAAATACGCTTAGTTCTAAGAAAAAAAAAATTCTATGGTGTACTCGATCCCTATCCCAAAACGTACCAGCCATATCGCATGCGTAGTCAGCTACTCAGATGAATTTTAAAATTATATAATAAAAGTAGGTCACCCTAAAAAAAAAGAGTAAAATGGCTCCCGTTTTCACGACAGCCGTCACTCGATTCATAATTTACAGAGTTATAAAGTTCTACTTTCTTTTGGCTATAGATTTAAAGAAATATTAATTTGTTATTTCTCATGCGTTCCAACAATTGTACCTAATTTTAATAAACATTGGATTAGTAAGGACTCGATTCTTTTTAGAATTAGCCCTCGACACTATACAGACTATTGCGAAGAAACAGACTCGCGCGAATGTCGTGCGTAGGCTGGTTCAGTGGGCGAAGATTAGAACCCAATCAGACGGAAAATTTTTACTTTGAAATAATTACATTATCAATTAATTTCGATTTAAAACAAATGGCTTAAAGTCAAAAGTAAACTAAAATTTAAAAACTTTGTTATTCGCAGTGTACTCAAGATTCTCGTGTTTTAAAGATAAGTCTAGTTTTACTACCCGTGCGTGCATGGTGCGAATATCGATTTTCCCCGACAGAAAATCATAAAAAATTTTTTTTTAAGTATCTACGGCAAAATAATACTTATATTTTACAGAATTAAATACATTTAACTAAACTGTTATTTAAGTACATGCCTCGGAGGAAAAAAATACAATTTTATATCCGTAAAAAATTAACTGAAATCCCCGCTTTCAACGACGCCGATGTGTCGTAATTATGGCCATTCACTTTTTTCAAATTAAAGTAAAAAACACATTCAAATATACTTTTTTTTACTTTCATAATTTACAGCAATCATTTCTAATGAAAAATCCATAAAAATAATAGTTATTTTTACAAAATAGTATTTCTTACCTTATTAGTGCAGTACACGTACTTTTCCAAGTAGATCCATTCCGTCCAGATTTGCATACTTCGCATCCTTCGCCGCGGCACAAAATGTCATAAAAAACGTATTCCACAAAAATGTTGCTAACGAAGCTTGTAAAAACATAGCTCTATTTATCAGTATAAACAAAATCCCCGAACGATGTCTGGTTAGAAAGTTTATGAACGGCGAAGATCGAATATGCATTTTCCGGTACTAATCTGTTTCCTGCCATATAATACTTATATATGAAATTTCATCAATATAGCTGTAACGGTACTTAAGTTATCGTGTTCACAGACATACATAATACACACAGACATCCGTAATAAAATTGCAAAACTATGTTTTTTAGACTCAGGGAAGTGTATAATGTCAAGATTTGTGAAAATTTCTATTTCTTGCATGATTACAATACATCCTCTTTACATCTTATACAAGAAAATAAAGGTGTTGGTTTCTAAAATTGGATTGTATCCCTTTAACAAGCCTAACAAAAGGGTAAAGGGAGGCTACATGCCGAAATTTAAAAATTTTTTTTAACTTGCATGAACAATTGATTTCTTAATCAACGTCTAACTCCAATTTAAATTTTTTGCATTATAAACAATTACAAAATTTAAAATAAACTTAAAGAACTTTAACTAGTTTTAGTTTTACATAGTAAAATGTATTAAAACTTTGTAATAACGCCTTATCCAATCTAATATTTACTTTGCTTTATAGAGTCGTATCACTTATTAAAAACATTATGTAGGAAGTAGGGTGACCTTAAGATTTAAAAACTTTATTATTGCTCACTTAAACAATTAACAACTACTTTTATTTACCTTTAATTTGATACCAATTTTTAGTTATCAAATTTAATCAGTAGCCTAGAAAATGATTTGTGAAGAAACTCATTTGTTTTTAAGTGGCTATGATGATAAGACTGATACCCAGTGATACGATGGGTTAGATTTTATGGAGCTATATAGTGCCTAGGTTAGTTTTTATGGAGTTATGTAGTGATGCAATTGACGTTCAATGCTGTTTAGTAGCAGTATGTCGTCAGCTAGATTTCTCCCCATTCAAATACACAGCCTGCAAAATGGGTGGGCATATTTAGCTGTTATCTCAATCAAGTTATTTTTTTAAGGTTTTGTTTTTACCCTGCATGATGTTTTTAAAATTAATGGAATCAGTTTAGTAGGATGTAATATATGTCTATATTTCAGAGCATTTTTAGTAAAATCACAACAATATTAAATACAGCAATTTCCGTTTAGCTTACTTTTATTATGTTCTGCTCGATATTCTCAGCGATTAGACCAAAAAATGTAAAAATAGCAAACTTGCAACAAATACTAATCGTCCATTGTTAAAACTAGATCAGCATCATTGAAAAATAACCATTTAAAGTATATATTTCTGAAATGACCATGAAACATTGTGAAAAAACAGAATCACTATATTGTCATTTTTGGCAGCCGTCATTACCATGATAACGGTAAAAAAAGTAGGTCAAGCGACAGGCTAATCCTACTGCAATGCATTACAGGCAACAGGCTAAACATTTAAATCTATAGTCTGAAGACATCAAGCAAATTAATAGCAGAGAATGTTTAGTGTTTAGTGAGTTGTTTTTAAAATAAAAGTGACAACTAAAGTTTCAACCTATTTGTCTAACAGCCGAAATATTCCTAAAATTAAAAAGACCAGTTTACCCAGTGACACCAAAATTTTGAACCAACCTGTCTAACAGCCAATATATACTTCAAGCTAAGAAGAGCTCCATGCCTGACTTCCCACTGGTCTTGTGTGAGCATTTGCAAGGAGACATTCACAACAGCAAGAACTGAAGGCTCTTCCATGTACTTGAGGACAGTGCCAAGGGCTTGAGCACAAGTTTCTCTCACAGGTGCAACCACCTGGTGGGACAAGATGTTAATAATCTATTATTTATTTCTAAAATTGTCACTCTTAAAGGTATCATTTCTTTTAACAGTTATCATTTTTAAGTAAAGTTAGACTTTCTAATATAAGTCATCTCGTTGTAAGTAAAGTTGTTGTTTTTTTGTAGTTATCATATCTTTCTAAGGTTATTTCTTTGTAAAGTAGTAGTCTTCATATAGTTATCATTTCTATGTATAGATATATTTCTTAGTATAATTTTCAAAATCAAAGCATGGTGGAAGAACAAGACTGACTTCACAAGTTCATAATTGTGAATAAACTTGTAGAAGGAAAAAAAGGCCAGTTGTTAGCTACTCACTTCATCTGAAACAAAGTCACCAAACTTGTCCAATGCTAAAACACAAAGCAAGCGTAGTGCTAAATCTGACAGCCAGGCTTGATTTACCGACCGGAGCTACAACACCAAGATTAACAATTATCATAAATTATTGACCATAAAGTTACAGTTTGTGATATCAAGCTAAACACTAACAGCGCCCTTAACGATAAAATTGGTAACATTTATCAAACATTGTAAAACACAGTTTATTATTTTAAGATTTAGAATTCACCAAAATTTTGGTTACGTCACCTGATTGCTTGGAATGTCTATAGCCTTCCCTGCTCCCCTGCCATGCAGCTTGATGACCTCCCTTATACCAGAGGCAGCTCCATGTCTTACCTCCCATGAGCTATGGAACAAGTCATTCATCAGAGCTTCACAGAAGTTCTGGAATGGCCAGTCTTCAAACTAGAAAAACAAAAAGTCTTGTAATAAAATGTAAACTTACTTTTAAAATTCTTAAAGAGGTCCAACAAACCTATTAAGTGACAGAGATAATGTCTAACAAGCAAGCTGATACTTGGTTAATTAAAAAAATGAGCTAACCAACATACTCATGACAGATGTTTACAAACTTTATTCTTCACCTAAATTTATCTAACTTTGAAAACTTTGATGAAAGATTTTAATTTTCTACCTTGAAATTGATTCTTAATGCTCATAAACAAAATGGATGGTTACCTCTTCAGACAGAGAGGAGGAATCACTAGAGTCAACAGATCCAGATGATCTCTCACGTTTGATACGCTTAAGTGGACACGAATCTTCTGATCCATTATTATTACTGAGGAAGTGTGCAGTAGAATAAATATATATAAAAGGAAAAATTGAGGCCTAATATATTGTGGAAATAAACAGTATAATAAATTTATTTGACAGAAAATATTGAAGCCTTATAGATTTCAATATTGTGTACAATCAAAAATATAAAAAGTGATTGATAAAACAATACCTAGATAGTTGTTTTGACAAGGTTCTGGCTTTCCTCTTGGCTACATTTCTTTCACGGGAGCTCAAGTGAGTTTTATTGCCCAACTGCTGCTTCAGGATTTCAACAACAGGCTGAAAAAAATGTTTGTTTAATACAAAATTATCTGTAGAGTATCTAATCTACAACTTAATGTTCCATGTTTTATTTAAAAAGAAGCAATTTTTTTTAAATAAACAGTTTCTAATATTTTCAAATGACTGTTAAATATAAATACCTGTGAGTTATTGTTCGACCCTGGCAAAGATGTCTCAACATTCATACGTAAATCTTCGTCATTAAACAGATTACTAGTATCAATACCTAGACTGCCAGTAATGTCTAGTCCAAGGCGCTTATTTAAAAGTTGACGTTGTTGCAGCAATTGCTCTTTGTCTTCCATCTCTAAAAAAATATTTTAATACAGTTAAACAAAGTAAACAATGTCCATTATAGATTATTTTCCAAAGTTCTTTTAAAAAAATGTCTAAAGCCAAAAGGTTTAAGTGCTTTTCTCCAGCACCTTACAATAACACAATAACATTGCAGTTTAAAAGTATCCACTGAAGCATTTTTAAAATTTTAATTTCTACTTGCCTATTAATGATTTGCCTAAGTCATACTGATCTCCTTCAGATCCTAACAGAGAAGCTCCACATTCTAAAACTCGTTTGATATCAAACTGTGAGAACAAAACTGTCCCAGCACCAATGTAACTGGCTAAACTGGACTCTGAAATAAAATGAACCAAATGAAGTGTTAGTAATCAACAAAACATTTATTTTTAAATTTGTATCAATGCTGATTAGGTAAAACAACAAAATGACTGCCTGTTACTTTTTGGACAATTTAATACTGTTTCTGTGCAGTGTGTAAATGTAACTTGTAGATTATTATAAAAATTGAAATTTCAACCTGATTTTGGAGCTCCTCTGGGCTCCCACTGAGGCACATTTCTGGCAATTGCATCAACTGCTTGTCCAGCAGCTACCCTTGTCTCCCAACAAGAGCTTCGAAGAAATCCATGAGTCTGAAATATGAAATATAGTTAATTTATTAAGGTGGTTTGACTACACTATGGTCTCAAAAAAATACCAACAGGTCTGAAAAAGTATCTTTACTACCATCTCAAACAGCAGTTAATCTTATCATCTTACTCACAAATTGGTCAAGTCATAGAATGCTTTGCAAATTCGACAGTAAATTGTGTGAATAAAATACTATAAGCTATACCTTAATGAGAAGGTTGTTCAGCTCATGAGGATGAAGCCGAACAACGTCACCAAGTTGTTCTGCCGCAGATTTCCGAATCAGAGGTGTTGATCCAGAATCCAAAAGCAGGAAAAGTCTGTCAAGCCTGTAACATACATTCAAGTATTATTTAACTAGTCATTTAACAGGCAATGTTTTTGTTCATTTTCAGTTTTTAATTTATTTCATGCATTTCTCACTGGTACTGGTGTAATTTGAGCTTTAAAAGTCATAGCATAGGGCAAAGTAATATATAAAACTTTTTAAAACAACTTTTTATCAAATTAAGAAAGTGAGGGATGGGGTGTTTGAATATGCTTTGAGCCTGTAGGACATCCCTGAGGCCACCCAGCTCTGATGAGTATCTGACTCAACTTGCCAAAACAAAGGGGGTTTGGGCATAGTGCTGATCACACCATTTCCCCATGTATGCGGAGGTCATTGAAATATATGTAACTCAGCTTCATGTGTCTTGGTCAAAAATGGGAACAAAGGATGATTAAGTTAGTGTAAAATTGCAGCTATTTTGTATATTTTAAATGGTAAAATTATTATAAATGTATTACTATTAGTCTTGGTTAAAATTATGGTTATGTAAATATCATCTAACAAGAATTATAGCATTTAAGGACAAACAAAAGTTGAATAATGATCTCAATAATACGAAATAAATTTTTGATGTTTAAGAAACACCAATATACCTTGTGCTCATTTTCAGATTGATGTCAAATGGTTAGATTTTTCACAGCTGTTTATTCAATGTTTCAGGCATCATAAGAATCCTCATTACTTATTCATTTTTATTGTGCCATATAAATGCCAAATTCTGACTTATTATTGCCAATTTTTGTAGGCAAAAAAACTTATGAATCTCTAGCTAATGCAGACAATCATTTTCAGGGGAATCTACACTTTTTTTTTTGTAGACCTCAGAAAAATCCAGTGCCTGCTAAACTAGATTATAAGCAAAACAAATTGTATTCAAATTCCCGCCTTTATGTGGTTTTCTGAACTCCAGGGCAGCATTTAAACTAGACCTAATAGACTCTTCCTTGTAGTATGTGAACCAATGATCCAAAAGCTGTTTGCATGTTGCTTTTATCGCTTTAATTAATAATTAACAGTTTGTGTATTGTTAACACATTCATTCATTCGATGCAAAATAACATACTATGCAGGCTTTAAATGGTAATTTAATTAATTTTTATTGTGAGGTTGCTGTTTTAAATCAGCCTATAGATCTAGATCTATAATATGTAGTCACACAAGTAGATCTAACTCTAACAGTAAGTGAGTTTACTGTGTCATTATTCATTATATTTTATACAATGCACAGTCTAGCAACCACACCTTCACTTCCCATGACTGAAAGGAAAGTTTAGTAAAAATAGTTAATAGTAGGATAGGCCTACTTGAAATTGTTCAATTTAATAATTTAAGCTTGCGTTAAAGATAATTTAATTAACCAGGGATAAGATCAGCTCTAGTCTAGATCTGTTTACTATTTATTTCTGGATATTTGTTTTTATTCTGAAATGTTTGTAAACAGCAGATTTGCAGCCCCATCGCCGTCCACTGTTCAGCAGACCAGGATCTAACGTCAGACAGACGCTCATATGTATGGTGATAAATTGGCGATACTTTTCATAACGTCTTGCAATAACATGCAAAGGTGTATGTAAAAAATATATAATCGACACAAACAACGTTTCTTTATTATGAATTAAGTATATTTTCGAGGTTTTTCCGTGGTGAATTGACGCGACCTTGCTTCGAACGCGGTGTGTATTTATACTGACTGCCATCTTGATGGTCTTCCGTCCAAATACCGCTGAAGTTCACAAATGATTGGCTGAGAAGACCATGACCTATTTCTGTACAACCAATCGATGTAATTGTAATAATAACAAGAAGTTTCGCATGAAAATTTGCCATATTGGCAAAACTAACTTACACTCTAAAGTTACACACAAAAATAATGTAACCTGAGAAAAAAAAACAATTATCAAGAGTAAGACTTTAAAATAAAACAGTAAATACTGACAAACATGTGTAATATTTAATTTAATTAAATCGAGCTAAAAGAAACCTTATTAAAATTGTATACTGTTTTTACTAGTACAAACTTTAAAAAGATGATCATACTAATTTTATTTTTTTTTATTTTGTTGTGAATTATATGACTAATCTGAATACTGAGTAGACCCCACTGACAAAATTGTAAAATCGTAATCATAATTTTTTTTTAAATTGTTGAATTTATTTTCATTTTTCTTACTACGTATTTAAAATGTTAAGGCTGCTGTTGGATTTTTTTATTTGCTTGTGTTAGTTTTTTTTTAAAATATATTATAATGCCATAGTTTCTTACAAAGGCCTAAATGCAAAGGCTTGGTGATATCGGTACTTTTTATGTCGGTGTAATCTTTAAAGTGTCGGCTCCATTATTAGTAGAAAATCAGTTTTGGTAGAAATCTGCAGCTGGCGATAAAGACTATTATAGGTTTTAACTTTTCCTACATTTAACACAATTGAAAATCTTGTTGTAGAATCAAATGTTTTAGCAGGTCTTCTACTAATGGTCATTCAATAATTGTTTTGTTTTTTCTCTATTTACTACAGCAAATTGTATACTATCTAGGCCTACAAAAATATTATGGTATTTTTTTCTATAGGTTTAGCGCCCCTCTTGAATAATGTTTTTATTATCTCTCTTGTTTGTAAATAGTCAGCATTTCCTTTTTGACTGAGCCAAGATTTTCAGTCCGTTTGAGTGTGTTTGACGTGACTTCTCTGTATTATGAAAAATCTGGCATAATATGGAGACGCCCACACTACTCTCCGCTTTTAAAGTTTGATTCATACATTCAGTGTTCAAGATGGCAGCCTCCAGAGTAGATTCGAGTAGACGTTTATGTGCACGATATAGAAAATTTTTTATTGCTGCTGGAGTAACGTTAGGATTACAGATTTTATTGTGTCATTATTTCCTGAATTTAAGTCAACGAACAGAGAGTGATAATTTACTTGAAAGTGACATAAAAAAAGGATTATTTACAGTTCAGGTAAGGAGACTTCACTTGTCGTTACGCTGTCATTCTCATTCCATCTCTCCCATTTCCAGTCCTACTTTCGCTTTGGCTTCTACGTCACCCCCCAGCTTTGTTTTATCTTCCTGTACTAAAAAACCTGTACGGATTGAACGAATGATGTGCTACTACTCACAATGAGCTACTACAATTTAAATAATACATTCCTAGAAGTCATGACTGAAGTCTAGACTAAGTAAAGTGTAAAGTAAATGTTATTGTTATGTATTCACAATGTGCTGTATCAAGTACATGTCATGTAGTATCATACTTTACTCTATGTAGTAGGGCCTACTTAAGTACATAAGTACTAGATTTAGAATTTTAGATCTAGATCTAGTAGCTATGTACAAAGTACTAGGTAAAAAATAGGTAGGTTAGATGTTAGAAACTAGCCGTTACTGTAACTGTAGACTAAAACATTATAATTTTTTAGTCACATAGAGCCTATAAAAGGAGAAAGATGTTATTTAGTAGCCTAATATTTAGGCTTTGGTAAATTTAAGGAATTCGGTCCTTATAGGCTAATAAAAGTAGGCCTACTCGATTAATAGGCCTGATTGATTATGATAGTATTGCCAATAGTCATTTTATGAGTTCATATTAGGCTTAATATTACACCAAAAATAAAAAAAATCTGTTCTTCAGTTATCCATATTTTCAAATTTTACTTGTTATTCCCACACAGATTAGGCCTAAATAATTTGTTAAACTTATAGGGGCCTAGGCCCTATATTATTAACTATGTCCAATGCTATAGCAGTTAACAGAGTGCATTATTAAAGCTTCTTATAAATAAACTATAGGCTGAGGATAAATATGGAACTGAAATGGCATTATTTTAAGATTCTCTCAACTGTTTTAAGCTAAATATAGGTCTAGTGCCCATTAGGACTACTATTTGTTATTTGGATTCGTGTCCTTTAAACTTCAGACTTTGGGTTATCATTATATTAATATTTTCATTCTAAATCAATTTTTACTTTCTCGTATATACGAAGTATAGAGAAAGTCTTGTAATCGTGCAAAAAAAAAAAATCGAGATTTTTACAAATCTCGACGTTTTACACCTCACTGATACGGAAAAACATAATTTTGCAATCTTGTCCGTATGTCTGTGTGTCCGTGTGTAAACACAATAACTTGAGTACCGTTACAGCTAGGTTGATGAAATTTCATATATAAGTATTTTATCAAAATCGTAGATCTGTATCAACTTTTGAGCGATTTCCGATAACCGGAAGTGGTACTTTTCCTACTTTGAATTTTTCAAAAGCCTATAACTTGAGTACTATTTCAGATAGATAAATGAAATTTCACATGTAAGTAAAAGATCTAATTCTCTACCTTCTGTTAAATTTTGAGTAATTTCCGTTGACCGGAAGTAGTAATTTACGCTACTTCCGATTTCTCAAAAAACAAATGTAAATTTTTAAAGTACTAATAATATTGCGCACTATTATGCACTTTTTTATATGGCGTTCACTTGGTGTGCAATTAATTTGTCTACGAGATTTTATTCTATTTTTAAAACTTTAAGTATTTAAAATGGATTAAAAATCATGTCTATAGCCCGAGTTCCCATCCCCTGTTATTTTATATAAGAATATTCGAGAAAGTTTAGGGGAGATCACTCCCGGTTTATTTATTTGTTTAGACTAGCTTACTGTTATTTTGAGAGTAAAAGCATTTGCTAATTGATCAAGTAACTTATTTCCCTCTAATTTCTATTAACATTAAAATTGATACACCCTTAGAAGTACAATCAGGGGTGCATACCTGGGCATTAAATAAAGAGATCACAGGTTTCCCATGCATTGAGATCACTCTCTGCCTTTGTCCATAGTCAGCCCAAAGTAATGCTAAGCAATTTTTAACAGTGAAATGATATGCTATCAGATAATGGGCATGTAGGCTGTCAGTTTACATTTGGCTTTTCAACTTAATTAAAATTCAAAGAGTGCCTATAATTATAGTACAAGTTGTAGGGTCTATTATTTTAGATATTTTCTACAATTTTATGAAAGGTAAATAAAATATGAAGTTTAGTGGTTACTTAAATTGATTGTTATTTCCTTTTAACATTTATATTGATCATAGTTTTAGCTGGTATTTTTTTTTTAATTTCTTAGGTGTCATTAGATTTAGGGGTTTAAATGCTGTTATTAGTTAGACTTGCATTTTATGATCTTGTGGAGATCATTGAATTGGTGTGTTATGGCTTGTATATTGGCTTCTATCATTCCCTAGTGCTAATTTGACAAAACACTAGCCCCTGTTAGCCTTAATTGAGCCATAGATTTTCTTCAATCTTTAAACTTTTTCAGATAAAAAAAATGTGTATGCCCATTTTTATTCGAAAATTTGAAAGATTTCCCAACTATTCTTTTTTTTAAATCTGATTTTGTTAGCTTTTTTCCCCATTATCAACCACAGTACATTTTTTCCATATTAAACCCAATCCATTTTCACCCGCTTACCATCGTCGCGCTGATAGTGGGGCCTAACGCGAACCATGCGATCGTGTTTTGGCCGTCACCACTAGCAGAATGTAACGTTTTTTAAAGAACGTGGCTGTTTAGAGTAGCTACGTTTATAAAAAAAAGAAGATCGTCTTAGGGCTGACAAGTTTTATATTTAAAGGTGAATGCGGGTTTCTTAAGAGATTCATGCAAGGCATTTAAAAAAAAGCTTGACTATATTTCTGTTTACACAATGTATTTTCCAAAGTGGCCAGTTGTTGTTTTACATGTGCAGTGTGCTTCTATTTTTACTTTATTTCCTGACTAGTCTCATTACACCTAAAAGCATCGTAGATTTTTTTTTTAGTTTTTTATTCTTAGGGCAAATTTCTCTGTGTATTTTCTTACATAGCCTAACTGTACTTTTTTTTTAACACCCCCGCCCTCCTCCACTTTTTTTTTCTCTCGTCACAACCCACCCCCCCCCCCCTCTCCCCCCGTGCTTCAAGCTTGGAAAGAAATTCTTTTTATGTTGTATTTATTTTTTTGTATTTACTTGCATGGCTGAATACTTGTGTTAACCCAAAGACTGCACGCTTCGTTCTTACAACTTTTTCAATTGTTCTTTATAGAGCTTTTATGTTTTGTTATGCTCATAGATCTCTGTTGTTTTGAAGCGATTTCCATTATATTGTTAATATTGATATGTAGAATCTTAATAACAATATGATTCATTTCTGCGTTGATATGAATTCAGCGGTTGCGAGAAAGTCCCGTTGAAGACGTTGAGTAAAAAAAAACGACTTTTAGCTGAGGTTAGACAAAGTGTGGTATATCTTTGTTTGAATACCATGAGTGTTGTTCTCTTAAGAGGTGCATTGCTTTTTTCGAAACAAATGGTACCCTGATTGTCATTTACACGTATCTTAATTTACAATGTATTTTTTTTCTATTACCGTATATCACCTTAATTTGAAATGTTGGATTGGTCTTTTTTATGACCTTTCACTCTGCGGCGGGTTTTAGTGTGATCAACTCCTTTTTTATTGTCTAAATAGTCTTCTGTCTCGATATGTGACCCAGTGGCTGTATTTGTAGACTTATTCTCGTCACTGTGAGCTTTCCCTGCATGCGGTCACATTTTGTGTTTGCTCACCATTCGCACGTGCGTCCTTCAAAACATAATTACAATTAATTAAACCACGTTCACGTGACAGGAATGGTTTTTTGCGCATGAGTGTTGATCTTCTACGAGATGGGAATTTATTTTTGACGTGAAGCGACAAACGAATATTACAACCTTGGCCTATGACCTTGTGTTTTTTATGTACCAGAAATATTGGGCTAATTCTGGCTTGTGCCAAATATTTCTCGCAGGTTTTTTTTTTAAACATCAACTAGATTCTAGGGAGTAGATAAAATGTAATGAAACCACGGTACTCTTGTGATCACAGGAATAACCAATCGATGATGTACATTGCCGGTATTGCTTTAATTAGCTAATGTTATACAACGTTTATAATTTGAAACGATACCAGCAAGGAAATAAAGTTATGAGCGATACCAGATGGAAGAGGCACCGGACGCGCCGGAGTTTGATATAGTATTTACTTCCGTGTTTGTTCTGCGTTGTTGTCGCTTTGTGGCGGTTGGTGCCCTTGACCAATGTAGATCTAGCTTTGTAGTAGTGTTGGCCTACGTGAGCATACTGTAATGCTGCGAATATGCTGGCTATAAAACACCATAGACGCGGGGGGGGGGGGGGGGGGGGGGGCAAAAAAGTGGGATCGGAACAACTTCCTCTTCTTCACCTCACGAAGGTGGTATCACATCTTCGTGTGTATGTACTTTACAGCTATACCACGTCGACGATTTAATTAAATAAATGGCTCCATAGATTTAAAGACGTTTGGATAATTTCGCCTTTGGAAATTGATACGAATTAGATGTTGTAGGCAAAGATTGGTACTACTTAACTGTGCAATTCAATTTTGAAGGATACCCTACGCACTGGATATTAACACAAAGAACAAGCTGTGGAAAATAACTTAAAATAAGAACGCCGTTACGAGAAAAATATGTTTATGTCTCCACCCAGTTTAATATAAATACCAAAACGCCCCAAATAGTCTGATATAATCTGAAAGCGTAGGTTCAGCGTCAACAAGAGAACAATAGAACAGGTTCCACACTGCGTACTTGTGGAAAGCTCTGATGTCTAGACCAGGACTAGGTCATGTCAGTGTTACCATCAAGCTTTGTGGGAGGCGTGGTTGGTGTCATTTTATAATACAAGACAAGACACTTTACTGTACATTGGAGTTTTTTTGTGTCATTTTATAATACAAGACAAGACTCTTGACTGTACATTGGAGTTGTGTTCGTGTCATTTTTTAATACAAGACAAGATACTTTACTGTATTGGGGCTGTGTTGGTGTCATTTTATAATACAGAACAAGACACTTGACTGTACATTGGAGTTGTGTTCGTGTCATTTTATAATACAAGACAAG